TCTCATCATCCAAAGGAATTAAGCTCAGTTCTTCAATTAATAGAATTAATAATTGGATCATTCCTTAAAGTTATTTGGAAAGAAAGGGAATACTAATGTCTGCCCTCTGGGATTCTATTATTAAATGTTGGCTTTATGGAAAGTACCATTACAGCTGATTGCTCTTTCCTAATTAGTTTAATTCATAATTGTTGGAATCTAAAAGGACTATAACCACTATCCAAATCAGGATCTATTTATTTTTAACATTTACTGTTGCTATTTAAAGCGGCACTGTCATAGCCGAATCCAGTTTTTTTTGTAATCCCCCCTCCCGACTCCACTATCTCTAATTGTCCCCCTACTCCCTCCAAATGCCCCTAAAATGTTGAGCCTTGCCTGATTGGTAACTTGCAAGGCTCAAATTTACCTATCAGAGCACTCTTATTGGTTGGTTTAAAGCCTTAAGCCAACCAATCAGAGCGCTCTGAGTCAAATTGCAGGGCGTGGGAAGGCTTTATAAGCCTTTCCCTGCCCTGCGGAGCTTAGTCTGCACAGTACCCTCGCTGGGTGAAGATGGGTTATTTTTGTAAGCATGGGTTTTTTCTTTTTTTATTTTGCGCCCTGTTTTTTTCAATGTAATAAATTCGATGGGAATTATGGCTTTTTATTTGGCCTTTTTTGATTCATTGATTCAGAAGGTGGGGAGCTTATTTTTTAGAACAGTGAGCAGCCATAAGCTGCTCACTGTTTAGTAGACATGCCCCTACTCGCGGTGTAGCAAGTAGGGGCATTCGGGAGATTTAAAATTGAGTGCCTAGACCAGGCATAGGCAACCTTCGGCACTCCAGATGTTTTGGACGACACCTCCCATGACGCTTTGCCGGCTTAATGGGTGTAAGAGCATTATGGGGGATGTAGTCCACAACATCTGAAGTGCCAAAGGTTGCCTATCCCTGGCCTAGATCATCATTACTTTTCTGCAAATTACATTGCAAGGATTGGCCAACCTTAGGCCCGGTTGCACCCTGGGATCCAGGAGATGGCGGTATCCATTTTGGTAATTAAAAAGGCAGATAGAGAGAGGCAGAGCCTGGCTGGTGCTGCGACTGGTCGCAAGATCTTAGAGCTCCCAAACAAGATAGCAAAATCGGACGATAAAAATCGATTCGACTGCACCCACAGTGTCTCAGGGGACCCCCTTTGCTAACAAGACCAAGATGGGACGCAAAACAAAGAAGCCCAGACAAGCCCAGCCCGGGGCTCAAAATCAGGGACCTATGGCGGCAAGCACATGGTGCCACTGGGCCCAAGATGACCACCCTCACCGAAGGCTGCTCTGATTATTCCGGAGACGACTCATTGGGAGCCGAGGAATACCCGCTGGCACCAGAGAGACCCATGCGGAGACCACAGGACCCGGATGCGTCCCCCGTGACAAAATCTGTGCTACAGGAGATGTTGGCTGAGCTCCAGAGAAACATCTCAGCGGACATAGCAACAATCCGTGGGGACCTAAAGAGCCTCACAGGCCGCATCGGGAAACTTGAACTTACCACCACAGAGAACTCCCAGCACCTAACGTCACTCCAGCAAACAGAGCAGGAACTGCAACGCCAAAACCAGATATATGAATGCCAGTTCGCCACCCAAGAAGACTCCCGGCGCCAAAACAACCTGAAGATATGTGGAGTGGCGGAGGAAATACCAGATGAGGAGTTGCCACACTTGGTAAGACGCCTAATTGGGGCTTCACTACAACCCTGACAGGCTAAGTCAGTGGTGATCGAGGGCCAATTCCGTGTACCCAAACCTCTCAGGGCCCCGAACACAGCCTCCAGGGATCTGGTGGTCCGTTTCAGAAGTGGATCCGATAAAGTTGCGGTTCTAATGGCACTCAGGGGACACTCACCTTTTCATTTTGAAAATATGCCCCTCACCGTCTATGTCGACCTCTCAGGGTGCACCCTGGCATGGAGGAAATCTCTCCGACCATTCACTTTGCTCCTGCAACAGAAAAACATCCGCTACCAATGGAAGCTTTCCTGCACATTGCTGGTGCAACAGGGAAACACTCCACACGCCATTCACAACCTTCAAGAGGCTGCCGGAATACTACCGTCACTAGGAATGCCTCCAGATGCGCTCACCCGAGACATTCAGTCTTAGACACCACTCGCTCTGGGACCCCGCAAACATCCCCCCTTTTGTCCCGCGACGACACACCCCTGATTCCTATGCGGCTGCAACCACCTAAATATGTGCAGCTAACAACCGGGACTCACTTGGACGCTTGCCTGTCCGGACTTGTGTTCAGTCCAGATCATTTTGTTTTATTATTTCAAGGCTCTCAAGTTCATTATAATTTTCTATGTATGATTTTAATGTTCATTTTCCTTCAACCAGCTATGTGACACTGCTTAAATTGATGCATGCACCAGAAATGCCTACCTAGGCTACTAACATACGTGCAAACACAAAATTTTCTGACAAGTATTGTCTCACTTCTAGTGAAGTGAATGCCCGGTGGTCCTACAGCTCACCGGTTTAATGATAATGCTATTGTTTAGCATGTTCTCTGCACTCTATAATGTCAGGTAAATAGCTGTCTACGCTCTGACAGTCTACCTAACCCCGCTAAGCTACACTATAGGCTGGGAATCTTGCCTGCTTAAATCGAATTATACCCTTGTAACGTCCTTATGTCACATAAACACTAAACTCCATTTTGAAGCTAGATACATTCAGCTCGTATACAAAACTATAAAAATAGGCATTTTATTTTATCAACTATCTAACACTACACAATAGATACGCTTATATGGCAATCACCCTCACCACACTATCTCAACTCAGCTCTTTTCAATCTCAAGACAATCATATGCCAGTTTAACAAATAGTTTGTTCTTGCTATAGTTATGCCAGATTATTCAAGTACACTAGTCATCGTTGCACAGCATCACAAACTGGTGCAAATGTCTATACTGTGTCATTGTTTTATTCTTAAGTTCAAACTCTGAATGCCAACGATATCAGGATGCCGCAAGCAAGTTCGATCTCAAACAAATAGATATCATTTAGACATGTCTGCATAGCTTATTACGTTTAAAAAAAAAAAAAACTGTGCAAAATTTTCCAAGCCACTGTTTAATCTATCTATGCTTAAATATGAAGGTACGCTGTTGTGGCGTATAAATGCGCTTTGTACTCACCTGCACAACAAAAATAAAGAATTATATAAAAAAAAAAAAGGCAGATATAGTCATCTGATAAGTATCTGACTAAAGCAGAATTACTTAACCCTCTACCTCCAGCAGTTTATTTAAAGACTGCTTTCTTTCCCAGTCGTCTGGCAGAAGCTTTTTGAAACAAACCTCTGGAGCAATCACACAGACCAGCATCTGAGTAACACTCCAAAGATCTCCTTGCCTTGACACCAGAGTTTCCACAGAACAGAATGAGACAGGCAACGCGATCCCAGGGTGGCTTGGTCACTCACGGTAGATTAATCCTATGGTTGGATCAGTCTTATACGGCAGATAGTTCTCAGCGAATATGTCTCTCTACCGCTGTTCTCCAAGGGCTCCCCTGCACCCTATCGAAAAGCGTGGATCAGCAACCAGGAAGTCAGAGCCCAACATACTGCACTCCCAACGACATCCGTCACCACTTCTCGAGTGCATGCTCGCCATGTGGTCAGCAATTTTTTTTATAGACGGGCTGGTAGACAGCCACTAGAGGTGGCGTTAACCTTGCATGGTAATTATTGCAGCATATCAATAATTAGCAGGATTAAATTTACAGGGACCCTGCTGCACCCAGACCACTTCAATGAGCTGAAGTGGTCTGGGTGCCTATAGTGTCATTCTAATTCTGCACTAGAAATGTGGCTGATGGGTATGATGTAATAAATTTTTTTTTTTTTTTTTTTTTAATATCAAACAGTTTCTTTATGGTTTTACATCTTAAGCGATGTAGTTTTTATGATGGCAGGAGTAGCCTGGCAGATTCCTTAGTAATGGAGTAAAACACTTAACAACGGTTTGCTGCCTTATCTAGGTTTACCCGGGCTTCAGCTACCAGGTAGTCTGATGACAGACTTCTGCAGAAAATGGAGGCCACAGCCATCATCATTCATTGGCTGAGAGAATCAGCTGATTGCTCTTCGCCAATGACTGTCCTACTGTGCAATTACATTTGCACAGAACTGACATTAGCCAGCCCAGAACTCGAGCCCCGGGCTGACTGATGACGCCCCAATGAAGCTGCCAGAGGTAGAACTCCAGCAGGCGAGGGGTTAAGTGTTTCAGAGCGAAACCCTTCACATACAGACTCCAGGCATCATAACCACTTGAAATCACTGCTGCTTGGAGTAGCCATTTAATCTGTGCGATGGTGACATAGCCACTACAGAAATCTTACAGTACCCATTTAGTGTATTATATAGCTAATACATCCAACAAAATGCAAAATGTTGAAATAATACACTCACTTTTGAAGTTCATGAGTTTTGCTGAAAATCCCTAGAATTGCTACACTGCCTAATTTAGGAAGTGGCTGACACACAGTCATCCCATGATAGTTCCACTGTTACCCCCCATAAACCAGTGATCAGCAATGTGTCTGTTAGTATTTACAGAATACAATAATTCTGAGACTCTGTATACAACATTATCTGACAGCAGCAGTTGTGTAGAATAACTTTATTTAGGTATCTAATAATTGTACCGACATTATCAATGTGAGCTCTGCCCCAATTTGTGCGACATTCAGTTTGAGGGACCTGACAGGCATTGGAGGGCAGCCAGCTCCACGTGGCGCCCAAGTTGCCTCGTGACGTCACTCGACAGCATGTCTGACTGGGGCGTTCTGGCGATGTGCCCCACGTCACTCCATACGCTCTGTATTCATTCATTGCATAGGCTGACCTCCGCCTCGCACGCCTATTGGCTGAAGGCGCTGAAAGGGGCGTGTCACACAAGCTATTCTCTATTGACAGCAGGGCGTCGTGCGGACGCGCCCCCAGACCGCACGGCCAATAGGATTAGTCGGAATCGGACAGCCAATAGGATTAGTCGGAAGGCGGTGTGTCAAGGTTTATGGTGGCGCTGTCCCCACGGCCTCTCCTCATTGTCCGTATCAGCACCGGCAGCTGACACAGATTTCCCTATCTTATCTCCAGCATGGCGTACAGTACCGAGCACAAGGCCCAGGCCAACACCTTGGAGTACAGGATCTTCTTCAGTAAGTTTCTGGGATAAGCTGTGACTACACCATGTGTAGAGGTCATCTGTGATACACTTTGTCATGCTGGGAGATCTGGAGAGGCCCATGGGTGTATGGTAGAAACACAGAAGGTTTGAGATACAATGTTTATACTGTGTAGAACAAGGTTTTCCAAACTATGGCCCTCAAGATGTTGCTGAGCTACAACTCTCATGATTCTTTGAATGGAATGGATATCCAGAGAATCATGGTAGTTGTAGTTCAGCAACATCTGGAGGGCCAAAGTTGGGAGAACCCTGCTCTAGAGATCTAGTTATATGAAGTAATTTATTTTCTCCATGTTTTTGATGCCCAAGCTTATGTTTTGAGTATATTTACTCATTTTCATGTAATGATTGGTTGAAAGTTGGGAATCAAGGGATATGTATTAAATCAAAACGATGTTTGGTAAGATCTTGATGCTAAGGTAAGTATTAAGTCCATGAGGAATAATGTCTCCCCATGTAGAAATGTATCACATATTTTGGGGGACTTGAATGTTAGCCATCTGTGTGTTAAGCTATGGGATAGGTTTAAACCCTTGATTAGGAACTGTCACACCGCCAGGAGATTAAATGAGGAGAACGTAAACATTGATTTGGTTTCTCCTCTTCCGATATGTTCAATACCTGAAAACCGTAATATTTATAACAAGATGAAGGTGCCCAGCTGAAAGATAGAAGTGTGAATGTCTACGTTTAGTTTTATTTTTCTCACCTAACAAAAATTTTTATTTTCTCAATGTTTACGCTACGTGAAGAGGAAAAAATAAAAATCGTGAGAAATGATTAAAAAAACTCATTTAAATACAAATCAGTACTACCATAAATCTATCACTTTAAAGATCAGATTCCACATTTGAATAACCCACATACAACAGCAAAATGTATGTGTCTGAAAGAAAATTACTGATCAAGCTTTGTAGAAGAGTAATTGCGATAGAATTACAAGCAAAGAAAGATACAGAGCCCTCGACATGTTATCTGTTTGGGGTACCCTCTTTAGTCTTCACATATGGATGGTGTATGGGGTCAGGCAAATTCAAAGTTCCAGGCCCCTGTCTAATCTCTAGACCCTAGGCAGCTCCCTAGGGCCATTTTATGGTTACACTTGCTCTGAAGATAAGGTAAATTTTGTAAGGATGTCTACCGGTTATTTAGGATCAGAGTTGGATAATTGTATGAAGACTTGAAAATGATTTGGAATAATAGTATAAACTTGCCCAGGAAAATTATAAATGCAAAGGTACACTAAATTATTATATTGAATAGTATGAAAATCTATGTATGGATTAATAGGTTAGTACTTTGTCTAGTCTTGAGCACAGACAAAGTTCTTCCTAAGTTAACAACCTGTTTAAATAGGATATTGGTAAAAATTCAATATGCAAAGTAGGAGTTTGTTTCCTTGTAGTCTTCTTATGAATATTCATTGTTTGGGTAAATCTATTTTTGTCAGGTGATAAAAAGAATGTGAGGTTGATAGCAATACCTGGTGGTAATAAGATGCTTTAACAAAGATGCACATATCTCAGTCAGACTGCCTCACAACCATGTGAGTTTAACCATTACTACTGCACATAGGGGTCTAATTCTTAAATGATCTGTACAACAGAGATCCTTTTCTTCTTTTAGGACACCCATGTTTTATTGTACATACACACCATTAGATGTGCTCCACTCTACAGATTGGCGGCAGTTCATCCCTCCAATAATCTTGTTGTTTTTGTATGCTTGTATATATGTGGGAAAGAGAGAGATATCCACTAGAGTGTAGAAGAACTGCAAGAAATTCTTATTATAAGCGCCTTTCCTTTACACAGAGCGCATTTTTTCCATTGCTTAGTGTTGGTGTGTGGATATTCCAGGGGTTTTATGGTTAGTTTAGAAGACAAAGTTTACAAACATAAGTTTGTGTTTGGAAATGAAATATCTATCTGTAATGTAGCTTATCTTTAACTCTGTACAATTTCTTTTCCACCTGATAATGTATTAAATGGCATAGGATAATATGTCAATTTTGAACGTTACATACAATTATTTGTGAAGTAAAAACTATTTTAAATAAAACAATCCCATATGTTTCCTGGAAATCTAAATCTTTTGTAAAAAGTATATGCAGCTAAATTTTAAAGTTTAATCCAATTATATCCACTACCGCTCACTGTAGTGGTTATGATGCCAGGAGAACCCTGGCCCAATCCTCCGTAATAGGACAAATTATTTTGCAATGGTTTGTCCCCTTACCTGTATCCCCGCCAGTCCATGGTGCTGGAAGCCATGTCCATCACCATATACTGACTGAGAGATTCAGCTGACAGCTCTCAGTCAATGACGGGTTTTCTGGGTAACAAAAATTGCACAGAATTGATATTAGCCAGTTCCTAACTCTAGTGATTATACTCCAGTCACACCCCAATGATGCTGTTGGAGCTATTCCTGGGGCTGCAGAGGGGGTTAACACTGTATGTGCCATATTTCAAAGCAAAACGCTGAACATACAGACTTCACACCCCATTACCACTTCCACTTCAAATCACTGAAGTGGGCATAGTGCTTGAAGTAACATTTAATGTAAAAATTCATCGCAGTTCGTAAACTCTGTGCCTTGACACCAACATAGTCAACATATGTTCCTTAACCCCTTAATGACTTCTATGCTATCATATAAATAGTTGGCTTTGAACTGCCTTATGGTGGCATGGAACATCTTCTTTTAGGTATAAGCAGTGCTAAATACCTTTTCACACTGTTGAGATCCAGGTATCAATAAACACCTGTCAGCCAGGGCCATTATCAGTTGATTGACATTGACCTATAAACCCTTCGCGACTGCTGACGTACCTGGTACGTCCGACAAAAACCGGTCGTACCTGGTACGATCGCTTCCAGCCACTTTAACGGTATTGAAGCTATGTCGAGGCATCAAGCAATACCTCTCCTGACTGCCGGGGTGCCGAGTGATCGCTCCCCAGGAGCTATCACTTCCGCGTTGCCCCACGTGGCTCCTGGCAGTGTAGCTGAGCATCGGAAGCCATAATTGTTTTTTTGCATTTTTAACGCACAAACAAATATAAATGCTAACTTTGGCCAGTGTTTGTGACTAAGTGGCTACTAAAAAAAGACTTGACATATCCCATATTAAATACCCTGGGTTGTCTACTTAAAAAAATAAAAATATGTGAGATGTGATTCAGAGATTTATGACAGATAACAGAGTTACAATGTCACTATTGATACATTTTAAAAAATATATAAATTTTTAAAAAGCAATATCCTACTTGTACTTTTAGCCCTATAAATCACAAACAAAAAGCCAAGAACATGTTTACATTGGGTATTTCTAAACTCAGGACAAAATATAGAAACTATTTAGCATGGGCGTTTTTTGCCGGTTGTAAATGCGTAACAGATTTTGGGGGTCGAAGTTAGAAAAGGTGTTTTTTGGTTTTTTTTTAACATTTTTTTTTTTAATCATCTTTTATAATTTTTTTTAATAGTAAATTATAAGATATGATGAAAATAATGGTATTTTTGGAAAGACCATTTAATGGCGAGAAAAACAGAATATAATATGTGTGGGTACAGTAAATGAGTAAGAGGAGAATTACAACTAAACACAAACACAGCAGAAATGTAAAAACAGCCCTGGTCCCAAATGGTAAGAAAATTGAAAAACTATCTGCTCACTAAGGGGTTAAATCACCATGGATGGACAAACACTTTTGTTCAGCTGTAGTGGTCAAAGTGCTTTAAGTACCCCTTTAATGTTTGTCAGTTGTAATTTACATGGAATGGTTTATTTTGCTCTATAGTTTGCATTACATATTTTGCAACTGTTATAATGTCACCTGTATACTTCTGTGTAGTTTATTGTGAAATACCTAGAGTCAGCTTACTAAAATCGCACTAATTGTTTGCGTTCTGCAGGTGTGACTGATAGCACTTACTACTTATATGACTGAAATGGGTGTGCTGTTAGTAATTCTATATGACAGATTATGCTGTAAAATGTAGAGAAGTGGTACAAAGGTAAATTCACATAAACCATTCATTTGGAGACAGTGATTCATGTATCTATATCCTGTATTTTTCATTGTCAATGTAACTGTCATCCAAGTTCTGTCATTTCTATCATTAGGCAATAACATTGAAAATAGAACAAACGTTTTAAATAAATATACTCTCCTTCAAAGTCTCTATAGCTGTACAGCTGAAAGAAGCTGAATTCGGCTATAGGAATTTGCTCCACCAATCAGGAGCTTCTTATTCTGTGTCTACAGGGATTGATCTTATCCCATAAACCTCTCTCTGGAGTACTAAAGGGATACTATAAGTGCCAGGAATACAAAGCTGTATTCCTGGCACTACAGATCCCTCTGCCACCTCCTCCCCTACCCACCCCCCTGCGGTGGTCAATAACCCTTATATTTATTTACCTTACCCAGCATCAGTGTCCCTTGTCTCCTTCATTCCCAGACGAGCGGGCACTAATGCCTATGCAGAATCAATGCTTTTTTATGGAGAAAAATCTGATGTTGAATGTCCTCATGCAGAGCGTGAAGATGTCCAGCATTAGATATCGGACCAAAAGTCTGTTTGGATGCTGGAAGCGCCTCCAGTGGTTGTCTGGGAGACAGCTACTGAGAGGAGACTTAGTGCTGCAATGTAAACATTGCCGTTTCTCTGAAACTACAGTTTTTAACACTGCAGCACTAAGGGCAATAGGGACACTGTACTCAGACCTTTTCAATAAGCTGAATTAGTCTGGGTGCCTACAGTGTCCCGTTTAATGAAATTAGTAATTTTAGTACTGGAGATGGGTGTACCAAGGTAAGAAGTCAAACGTTCCTGCTACGTGATCAGCATAACAGTGAAGACTTCTTGTAAACATACTACATATGGCTTCGCCCCTTCCCGCATGCAGTCTTTTGAGAGGTGAGCTGTATTTTTTTTTTTATATTTATATTTTTTTTATTATTATTTTTTTTTAGAGAACGCAGTCTTCAGATAAGTATATGTTTTGCTGGCAGTTTCACTAGCAATCAATTTATGGATGACCAGTTCACTTTAAATGCCAGTCATGCACTCTAATATTTATCAATGTGAATTTCGGCAGGTTCAACATTTGCACTTTGTCACCTTATCAGCCAATACACACAGATTAGTACAAAGTCCTTTCTGAGTTGTTTAAATAGGAATGTTGCAATTTTATATATTTTTTTTCATTATTATTGACATTTTTCAATATGCTGAAGAAAACAAAACAAGTAGCAAATGTCTGCAGAAATATAAAAAGCCATAACTGGGAGTATACACCCTTGGTTCATGTCACAATGGATGTGATATAGGAACAGCCACAGCATTTGGGGCATATGGAAAGACCAGATTTGGCACATGTAAGAGAAGTTGTCAAACTGTTTGTAGATTACACCATAATCACTATGGAGGTATTTGTGGGTGACATCAGCATGTAGGTGGCATTTGTATCCAAAAGAATGAATACGTTTGCCAAAAAAAGCAGGGTAAAGAGAAACCAGGACCAAGGACAGAGCATTGATAGGCTCCAATTGAGACAGGATGAGGGGAGGTAGTATTACCAGAAAAGGAGACTTTGAAGGATCATTGGGAGACATCGGATTAGAATCATGAAAGGACTGTGGTACAAAGGCGTAGGACAGTGTAAAGGCCACAGAGAGATCTACATCGATTTCTAAAAGGTTGTTTGAACAGTTAGAAAAAAAAAAGTGTGTGTGTGTGTGTATATATACATGTATGTGTGTGTGTGTGTGTATGTGTGTGTGTATATGTATGTGTATATGTATGTGTGTGTGTATATGTGTGTATATATATATATATATATATATATATATATATGTTTGTGTAAACGTTATTCCTGTGGTTGAGCCAGTAAGCTTAAAGAGACTCTAGACATTTTACAATAGAAGCAAATGTTAACGATTTTACCCAGTATGGCTATACATGGATTTTATTTTCTGTGTTAATGAAATTAAGGGAGGCGATCTAATAAAACAGATCTCTCTATCTCTCTCACCCTCTCTCGTGAGCTGATGCAATCAATAAAAATTACTTATGTAACTAACAGCAGGTATTTCAAAACGTACACATTCAAAATGTTTTGACTTTGGCTAAATCTGAAATAACCCGTATAGCAGCAGGTTTTCCTAGTTTGTGGTTTCTGCAACATGAACGTATTGGCATAATTAACCCCGCACTGGGATTGTGATGAGTGGCATGTAGCTTCTTGTGTAACATAATTGGGGTTCTAGTTAAACACATCTTTAGTACTGCTAGGCCCTTATACAATGTATGTATTCACTGTAGATGTAATTTGTTCCATATTGATTATTTCCATTCATCACAAAGAAATGGTCAACCTCTTATTAATTTTCCTCTCAATAATCTTTTACTCTGTGACTTGTTGACCTTTCATAACATTACTTTCTGTTTTAATAAAAGCTCGACAACTATAGACTATAGGAACCAGGCCAGGCATTAGGAGGCCTTAGGGTAAATGTAAAATATATACTTTAGTAATACCATTTTTATAATTATGATTGCATTTATGGCTAGGAATACTTTTTTAGGTTTAGATTTAGCATTGTGTTTAGGGTTTAGCTTTGATTTATCCATAATCATAATTTGTAACATTAAGGGAGCACTCCACGAACCCTAAACGCTACATGGTTATGGTGCCAGGAGGTGTCCGACCATTTTAAGTAGTGAAAACATTTTTAGAACAGTCTGACTTCTTACCTGTGGTCCACCGGTTGCCAGAATCTTACCTTGAATGCATCAATGAATAGAGCTGGAATGGGTACTATTCTCCATCTTCACTACCATCACAGACAGCTGGAAGCTCCTTAGCCAAACACTACAATTCAGGGGAGCATACAACACACCCCAGATAAGAAGTCCCAATTGTTTTACTACCTACATATGGGAATGGGGTGCTGTAGTGATTATGGTGCTTGGAGTATTCCTTTTAAACATTTTTAAATAATAAAGGTGTGTTTGAGCGCTGTAATCTTTTTTTTAGAAAACAGTCGAAATGCTTTACAAGCTACTTATCCCTGTAGTTGGAAAGATTTAATATAAAGTTTGATTATTTTATATTTTTATTATTTGCAAATTATATGGTTCCTTTTTCTTAGGCTGAATAGTGTCACATGCTAAATAATAATATTTGAAAAATTTAGTCTGTACTTCAAAAGTCTTAGAAATTTATCATAGACAACTGACTTCTGCGTTTATGTATAAAAGATTTTGACAAGAGTAGGTAAAGTTGACTCAACCTAACCTGTTTTGACTTCTGATGTCTTCTGCGTAATAGTTATAGGCTGGGTTACATAGTTGTCTACGTTGAAAAAATACTAATGTTTAACACTGAAGCCCATTCGTTTATGCTTGTGATCCAAAAGAAAGTTAAAAAAGAAAACTACAACCATTTTTAATTATGCCTAAAAGGGGGAATAAATCCTTCTTTACTCCGTAATGGCAATCAGATTTCTCCTAGGATCAACAACCTGTCTACATACATATCAATTATATCTGGGGTCTTACCATCGATTTGTAAAGAGGCAAATGTAAATTATACTACATCACATGATTCAAACCCCCTTTTTATACACAAAAGCACCTCATTAGCTTTTGTAACAGTTAACCAGCATTGCATACTGTTGCCTCAAGGGTGTGGAAATGTAAAACAAAACAAACAAAAAAATAGAATTGTAGCTTACTTTATCAAACAATATAACTATAATTAACTGAGACAACTTCATGAGGCCATTTATAACTATTGACATGATTGGTTACAGAAAAGGCAGTGTTTACACTGCTGAGCCTACCGAGTCAATCTCTTTGCTTCAGAACCACTACATTAAATTGTAGTGGCTCTGGAGCCTAGAGCGCCCCTTTAAAAAGGAATATAGTGTGGGGTGGGATAGCTATGTAGTGTGTTGGTTATGCAGTGTGTGTGAGAAACATAATGTGAGGTGGGATAAGGATGTAGTGTGTATTCGTTTAGGGAATATAGTGAGGTGTGGGAAAGGGATGTAGTGTGTAGCTTATGAAGTGTGTGTAGGAAACATGGTGTGGTGCAGGATAGAGATGTAGTGTGTGCATGGAACATGGTGTCGTGCAGGATATGGATGTTGGGAACACAGTATAGTGTGTGATAGGTTATGTAGGTTTGTAGGTTATGTAGAGTGGAACATAGTGTGGGGTGGGATAGGGATGTAGTGTGGGTGCAATAGGGATGTAGTGTGAGTAGGGCAGAATAGGTATATAGTATGTGGGAGCGGGTGACAGGTGGCAGAGTGTGGGAGGTAGGGGGTGACTGGTAAGCACTTGCCCGACGCCCGGAACTGCATGCGTCGGGCGATACGAATTGCGCATCCCTGTGCCTTGTTTGTGATCTATAATTGTTCCCAAGTCCTTTTAAATTTTATTATCCCTTACTCAACCCCATTAATGTTTAAGTGACTTGTGGGTTCCTTATTCCAAAATGCATGTATATGTGTATATGTATATTTATATAATATTTTATATTCCTTTTAATCCCTGCACACACTCTTTTAAATTATATAAATGCCGGGTGCATTCAAGCCAAAGTCAAATATCACAGAAATAGTAAATGAAGGCTTGCACTCACGGTCTTTTTCTTGCATAAAAGTTTTCTTCCTTTATTTAAAGTTTCTTAAAACATAGTCTCCAATAGAATCCTTCATTTTATTTATTTATTTATATATATATATATATATATATATATATATATATATATTAAATTGTATATGCCACTTGTCTGCCCAGTCCGACGATTTATCCAAATCCATCTGTAGTGGTCATATCCTGTTCAGACTGTAATTTCTTACATAGCTGCAAATACCGACAAATGACTTTCAAAGCCTACTTCAAGGTCAAACAGAAGTGGACGCAGGACAGATCCCTGAGGTACTCCACTTCCCACTTTTGCCCTATTTAAAATGTTTCCATTTACAACTACTCCCTGCACTCTATCTTTAAGCCAGTGTTCTATCCAAGAACTGATTTCAGTTTTACCAGTAAACTTTTAATGTGGAACAGTAACGTATTGTTAGCACCTACCGTTACTTGTTAATTGCTTTAAATTGTCCATCTGCCTTTCATTTGTTGTGTGCCTATTTGGAGTATAGAACGGTTAAGACATTTTTAATATTCCTACACTTCCAATAGTGATGCCATTTTCTATAGATACAGATGTGTTCTGCAACTCAGAAGCTCCATTGTGGTAACTGTTTACCTCATGCAGTGCAATCCTTTTTAATGCATGGTTTATGTCAGCAGCTACATACAGGGATATTTTATTATCTAGGGCGGCTAGTTCTTCTTTTTTCCAATCCTGCTAAGCATACCAGTCCTCGCCTAGTCTATTTTAATGTTCATTCATTTCCCTGAAAAATACTGCTATGACTTTTGAGACTAAAGTTCTGCTTTTAATCAAAAAGGCATTGGTTGCTCGAACAGAATGGTTTTTATGTCCACATGTGCTCTTAAAGTAGCAGGATATCTTGACTTTGCTGCAGTTTGGAATTTATTAAAGTTATTCACTAGTTTAAATTTGCTGGGAATACAAAGAGAATTTCACATTTTAATCCCTTAAAGGACCACTCTAGGCACCCAGACCACTTCAGCTTAATGAAGTGGTCTGGGTGCCAGGTCCTACTAGGGTTAACCCATTTTTTCATAATTATAGCAGTTTCAGAGAAACTGCTATAATTATGAATGGGTTAAGCCTTCCCCCAAAGCCTCTAGTGGCTGTCTCATTGACAGCCACTAGAGGCGCTTGCGTGCTTCTCACTGTGATTTTCACAGTGAGAGCACGCCAGTGTCCATAGGAAAGCATTGTAAATGCTTTCCTATGAGACCGGCTGAATGCGCGCGCAGCTCTTGCCGCGCGTGCGCATTCAGCCGGCGGGGCGGATCGGAGGCGGAGAGGAGGAGGAGAGCTCTCCGCCCAGCGCTGGAAAAAGGTAAGTTTTAACCCCTTTCCCCTTTCCAGAGCCTGGCGGGAGGGGGTCCCTGAGGGTGGGGGCACCCTCAGGGCACTATAGTGCCAGGAAAACGAGTATGTTTTCCTGGCACTATAGTGGTCCTTTAAGGACCAAACTTCTGGAATAAAAGTGAATCATGACATGTCACACATGTCATGTGTCCTTAAGGGGTTAAGGTCGAAATAGCCACACTGAAAACAGAATTGATTTGGATACTAAGTAAATTCATTCTGTAATACACTACATGGACAAATGTATTGGTATACACCTCCTAATTATTGAATTCAGGTGTTTCAATCAGACCTATTGCCACAGGTGTATAAAATCAAGCACGCAGTCATGCAGTCTGCATTTACAAATATTTGTGGGGAAAAAAGAGCTCCGTGAAATCAAGCGTAGTACTGTGATAGGATTCCACCTTTGCATCGCTGCTAGATATATTTTCAAGTGTAAGCAATATTATTGGAAAGTGTAACCTTTTAGGAACAGCAGCAACTCTGCCATAAAGCGGAAGACCTAATAAAGTCACGGAGTGCTGAGGCGCATGGTGCGTAAAATGCCAACGCCCTGCTGATTCCATAGCTAGAGTTCCAAACTTCCATTGGTATTATTATCAACACAAAAACTGGGCGGCAGTAGCTTCGTGAAATGGGTTTCCATTTCCGAGAAGATGCATGCAAGCCTCACATCACCAAATACGCTGCCCAACATCGGATCAAGTGGTGTAAAACACCATCACTGGAATCCATTAAAACGTGCTCTGTGGAGTGACTAATCATGCTTCTCTGTTTGGCTGTCCGATGGGCGTGTCTGGGTTTGGTGGATGCCAGAAGTGCATTACCTGCGTGACTACATTGTGCCAACTGCAAAGTTTGGTGGAAGAGGGATAATGCCATTGGCTGTTTTTCAGCAGTTGGGCTGGGCCCCTTGCTTTCAGTGAAAGGAAATCTGAATCCTTCAGCATACCAAAACATTTTGGACACTGCTATGCTTCCAACTTTGTGGGAACAGCTTGGAGATGGTCCTTTTCTATTCCAGTGTGAATGTGCCCCAGTGCACAAGGCAAGATCCATAAAGACATGGTTGGATGATTTTGGTGTGGAGGAACTTGACTGGTCTGCACGGATACCTGACCTCAACCCCATCAAACACCTTTGGGATTAACTTGAACTGAGATTAAGAGCCAGGCCTTCTAATCCAATATCAGTGCTTGGCCTCACAAATGCTCTAGCGGATGAATGGGCACCAATTCCCGCACAAACCTCCAAAATCTTGTTGAAAGCGTTCCCAGAAGAGTGGAAGCTGTATAGCTGCAAAGGGGCGACCACCTACATATTAATGTCCATGTATTTAGAATGCAATGTCAAGTCTTGTTGGTGTAATGGTCCTGTGTCACAATACTTTTGTCCATATAGTGTACCTTTTACCTTGCATCTTCAAAATTCCAACTCTTATATAGCTAAAATAATCAACTGATTTAAGAATAGAAATGAAGGGAGCTATAACTACAACTGAGCCCATATTCAGAGGGACCATCTTGTCGCTGTGTTTTCCCTGCAAGTTTACATGGTCACCCAGTGTGACAAGGCAGCTAGCCATCTGTTTGCAATATTGTCTGTTGATGTTTTAAACCTAATCTGCGGAGGATATAAAGGCATAAAGAAGAAGAAGCTCTTCTTTCTTGGCCAGCTGTATGACCTGCACTCCCCTCCCACACTCTCCAGGATATGTGTAAAGTTGCAGCAAGACATGAGCCTTGAGGATTGAACATCTGTAATATACAGCACGTAAATTGTTGAAGGTGTAAAAAGTAAAAGGTTAATGTTGAAATACACAATGCTTTACTGGCCACCTCCATCTTGGCTCCTGTTAATCATCATTTCAAATGCTAGTTGGTGGAAGAGAAGAACCAAAATTATGTTTCCGTTCTTCTCATTTGTATTGTGTATCCGCGGTGTGCATGAACTTAACTGGATTGTGATGTCACTCACTTTTAAAAGAAAACATAGCATTGCGTGAAATTTTTTTGACACTTTTTATAGGTGATTTTCAGTGAAAGTCACCCTTTAAGACTTGTATCCTTAGTTTGTCACAACCTCTGAGAACTGTCTGTTGTGATGGTAGGGAGGTGAGCTGGGGGAAAACAAGTGACCTTCGCAGTCCAATGAGAGCCACGCGTTATTTTCTGCATATAAACTGATTAGAAACTTTAAGAAGATTTTTGACTTCAGTGAATGTAAGAAGGGTCTTTAAAGCTCAGGCTGCATTTGGAATAAATTGATGAAAGCAGATCATGATGCTTGAGAGGGTTGTAGGACTTAACATTTAGCGAGAGAGCATGTTCTGTTGCATCTGGTACAGATACCTAAATGAGGATTAGGTTTAAATGAGTGAATGTATTACACAAATAAGTAAACAAAACAGCAAGTCTACACTCTAAATGCACCACTTATTGCCTTTTTTTTGGGGGGTGGGGGACAAGGAGTTTAAATAAAATATTCCATTCATTGAAAACTTTTTGAACTAGACACTGCATTTTCTCTGAAAAGACAGTGTTTACAGCAAAAAGCCTGAAGGTAATGATTCTACTCACCAGAACACATCCAATAAGATGTAGTTGTTCTGGTGACTATAGTGTCCCTTTAATCCACTAATCATGACTGTAGTTTTAAGGAAATCAGCAGTTGCTCTCCGTATATGGATCCCTGACATCCATCTATATAGCCGAATAGTTTAAATGTATCTGACAATCTACCTGATGAGTTACACGTGGCATTCTGGGGCTCAGGTGGCCCATCCAATACTACTCGAACTCCGCTTGTGAAATTTGCTTCTATTTTTCTTTCTTTCCTGCGGTGTCTGTATCATCAATCAATGACCCTATTTTATTTTGTAGCGTTGTAGCTGAATTCTTGCCATTTACATTATGTGCTGTGGCCTAATGAGGCCACAAAGGCTTTCTTCACGTTTGTGTGGTTTGATTAGCTGCTGAGATCAAAGCCGAAACATGTGCTGTTTTAATCTCTCAATGGGATTTTCATCTATTTATAACCACGTGTGTCTTGATCTTTTTAGTAGATGATTTAGTGATGTTTCTTACCTGTGAATGCAAGATCATTTGTCCCCCTTTTTTTTTTTTTGCTTTTCTGTTTTATACAAAATTAAACTATTATGAAACAAGACATAAACTTGCATATTTATGGCAGACAAACACACAAAATATACATTTTATATTGCAGAGTGTTCGCTGAGCTTTTTTTCTGCCAATACAGTGCACAAAATCAGTGCAATGGGGATGTAGGTATGTAATAATTCAGCTCAGGGTAATCTACGGGCAATATTGCGACACATCTGGACTTCCAAATCATCCTGGTTTGAGTTTGTAAAAGTATTAAACTGTATCTCTATATCTATAGTAACCTTGAAAGTGAATTATAATGCAATAGCTGTGTCAATTTATCCTGATAATACACAGCAGATTGCAGTGAGGAGCATGGCAAATGTATAGGGAAAACATGCTGAACAACAAATTATTAGCTTTATGTTTGGATTCCAAAACTTTTCCTGTCCTTCTACACATGGGAACATTATTTTCTATACACAAATAAGCCCTCTGGAGACACCACTGCTTTTGAAATATATAGTATATGTAGTAATATGATTCAGTATGTTGGAGTATGGTAGTTTTTAAAGATGAGGGTGATGTTTGTGTACAGGTTGTATGTCTTAGAGCATGTTTGCAGGTGTGAGAACATTGTACTAGCTAGTTCAACACTATGCTGTAGAAGGATAGACCATCTTCGGCACTCCAGACATCTCCCATAATACATTTGCCATAGAACCTGCCTAGAAGCACAATGAAAATATATAGAGCAGTGATGGGCAGTATGTATAATTTGTGGTGACCACAGCATACAGGCAGCAATGTATTTACATGCGAACAAGGCATTTGCCTTTGGCGGCAAAAAACGCCGCCCCCAAATGCCCAGGTAAATGCCTTGTTAGCCCCGTTTTTAAGATCATCCAGTTGAGTTCCAGGCGGCCCAGCAGTGATGCCTGGAGCTGGGATATGACATCACTCCGGCTCCCAGCATCACTCTGCGGCATGCGAGGGAGCTGAGCAGGCAGAGCTCACAAATCAGAGCCCGCCTTCCTGCCCAGCAGCCCAAACAGCCTGGCCAGCAGCCCAGGTAAAACAATCCACTCAGCACTCTCAAAGGTAGGGAGGCTGGGTGGATTTAAATTAAAATAAACAAAAAAATAACAATAATCTGTGTTGGGTGGAAAGTGTGTGTGTGTGTGTCTGAGTCATTGTGTCTGTCTGTGTGTATCTGAGTCAGTGAGTGTGTGTCTGTCAGTCAAAGTGTGTTGTTAACAAGAAAAGGTGTGGCCTTGACAGGAAGGGGTGGGGCAAATTTAAATTGGGGTATGCCCGAGTTCCGTCATGCCTAGGGCAGCACAGATCCAAAATACACCACTGCATACAGGTAGCCTGTTGGCAAGCTCGACAACATTCCAGTCCACAAGTAAGGTAAAAAAGAAGGGCAGCAATCACAGTTAGGTAGTTGGGCACCACATAAAATACCATGCAAAACAAAGGGTACAGAAGGAACATAATTTGCCCAATAAAATGTCGGAAATGTAAAGTTTGTTAATAACAGCTCTACACAGTGTGTGGTTTTGTTAGTATATTATAAATAAAGCACAGGTACTGTATATGCATATTCTTCAATATAGACTTATCATGGGATAAATTGGGATTAATTCCTTCTGATTTACAGACCATACTTAAAATGGCTCTGTCACTTCAAATTTACTTTTCTCCTATTTCCTCTTCTCTTCCGCTTTCAAAATCTGTTCTTCTTTTCTTAAAGGAGCACTATAGGGTCAGGAACACAAACCCATATTTCTGATCCTGTTGTGTTAAAACCACCATCTAGCCCTACTGGTCCCCTCTTACCACCCTAAATATAGTAAAATCTTACTTGTATTCAAGTCTCCAGTTGCTACCTCTGCTTCTATCTGCTGACATCATCAAAAGTTGTGGTCTGAGCCAATCACAGTGCTTCCTCATAGGATTGGCTGAGACTGTCAAGGAGGGAGATCAGGGGCAGAGCCAGCACAAGTCAAACACAGCCCTGGACAATCAACATCTCCTCATAGAGATTAATTGAATCAATGCATCTCTATGAGGAAAGTTCAGTGTGTGCATGCAGAGGGTGGAGACACTGAATGGCAGTGCTGCACATTAGACAGGACTGCTTAAAGGGACACTCCAGGCACCCAGACCTCTTCTGCCCATTGGAGTGTTCTGGGTGCCAACTCCCACTACCCTTAACCCTGCAACTGTAATTATTGCAGTTTATAAAAAACTGCAATAATTACCTTGCAGGGTTAACTCCACCTCTAGTGGCTGTCTACTAGACAGCCACTAGCGGGCACTTCCTGCTTCATAGCACACGCTGTGTGAGGACCTCCAGCGTCGCTCAATTCCCCATAGGAAAGGCATTGCCGCGCATACGCATTAGGTTTCCTCAGCCGGCAGGCGGGATCAGTCTCGCCCACCGGCTGACATAATTACTGGGAGGAGCAGCGCGACCCGAAACCACCGCCGAGGGACATCGGCGGGGTCTCATGTAAGTGACCTGAAGGGGTTTTCACCTGGAGTTTCCCTTTAAGGAAGAAGCTCTAGCAGCCATTTGAGGAGTGACCAGTGAAGTTATCACTAGGCTGTAATGTAAACACTGCATTTTCTCTGAAAAGACAGTGTTTACAGTAAAAACCCTGAAGGGAATCATTCTTCTCTCCAGAAAAAAATGCAATAAGCTGTAGTTGCCCTAGTGACTATAGTGTAACTTTAATTTCTGATCTATTTCTCTCTTTAAAAGCCAAGAAAAGTAGTCAAGGCAACAAAGTAGTCAAAATAACAGAGTGCGGAGCTTGCCTTAATCAAAGTAGAGACAAAGTAGATTCTGTTTTAAAGAGAAATTGATCAGCAGAGAAGAGCAGATTCTGAAGGAGGAAGAGAAGAGGACACAATAGGGGAAAGATAAGTTTGAGGTTACAGAGCCACTTGAACAGACAGTATATTAGTTCACATATAATTTTGTCTGTGTTGTGTGATCTTAGTTTTTTTTTTACGTACTTATTTTATTATCCCATAGAATGAATGGAAATTATGTTTATTCTGAATGCAGCCGATTGTAATATTTTGTGTTGTAAACATTGTCCAATTTTACTTTTGTTGTTTGTCACCCGTTATATTTATTACAACCCCTCCAAAAGGTTTGTTTAGCATCATAAGAAATGTAGTTCTCACAAACCTTTGAAATGCTGAGGTTAGCTACCATTGTCTTATTAAAATTCGCTATTCACATTCTTGTAATTCATTGAGTATAAAACAAATTCACTCTTTTCTCTCTTACCTATTTTATAGACGTAAGCAGTGATGTTCTTTGTTGTCTGGGTGATTGTATTTCCTATTTCAATTAGTGTATCCTCATTAATCAACATTTCTTTTAGTATCTTGCTTTATTTCTGGTGCCTGGGAAACTGGGTCCTTTTATTTTGTCATTTAGAAAGTGTACAGTGAATGAGATTATGTAATGTTCTTGATTGCATAAAATGTTCCTGTTCTAACACTTCAAGGGAGATTGTGCAAGAGTCCTAGTAAAAAAACAAAAGTGGGATATTTGAAATAAATGGTGTGTATATATAATTGTGTGTATATAAAATATAATTGTGTGTATCTCTTAATAACGGTTTTGGTAAATAGATTTGGCGAAGCTGGATATCCTTTAAGTAATGTTATTTTGTTTCTTGTAGAGAACTGCAATGGGAAATACATCTCTCCGTTCCATGACATACCCCTGTATGCAGATGAAGAAAAGGTTAGTGTTCTTATGTGGGATGCAAACTTGGGCAGAATATTGTTGACGTGACTGTAAAAAATGTAAAGGGACACTCTCATGTAGTTGTTTTGGTGTATAGATTACACCCCTGCAGTCTCACTGCTCCTTTCTCTGCTATTGGGAGTTAAATTGCTTTTGTATATGTAATCCTAGCCACACCTCCCCTGGCTGAGACCCATACAGCCTCTCTACACACTTCCTGAAAACAAGCCTGCATTTTCTTGCTTCCCTTACTGCACAGTGTGTTTCATTTAGAATTGCTCATCTCCTGCTCTGTTAAATACCTGCCAGTGAAAGTAAACACACTGTGTTTGTGTAAAAATAAAACCTTTGTGTTCTTGCAATATCCTTTTTAACCCGCTCCAAAAAGGTCAGTGCAGAACACTTTAAGGTCAAGGTTCATCACCTCAGAGGGCTATGGTATATTATCAAAATTAACACCACTGGGAGGCGACAAGTTCTTACTCAAGTGTAAAATTATGGATTTCCAGAATCTGGGTAAAGTGCAGGAATAATGGCTGCATAAACAAATTCTGGACCTTGTTGAACAGGAAAATAGGACTTTATTGTATAAAAACAACCTCAGCAACAGTATGGGGATTGGGGGAGTACAGCCAGTTGGATGTGTTTCGAGCAGCTCATTACTTCTTGCGAGTGTCAATGTTTGTGGATCTTACCAATAGCTTTTTTTTTTTTTTTATGTGGTGTATTGTCCTTAAAAATAAATCACCCGGTGTTCATAGCTTGGGAGAAGTCAGAAGATGTTTGGCACCAGCTTTGTTCACTAGGTTTATGGGGATTCCCATTTGGGTTTTTTCAGTCATCCTCTTCTAGCATATGTGAAAGAGTAGATGAACAAGTCTCTAGCTTTTCTTATTTTAGTGACCAAACACTTTTTTTTTTTTTTTTTTAAAGCAAATTAAATGTCCATAATTGAAAAAGCCATAAAACCTGCAGTTTAATCAAAATAAGTATGATGTAGCATTATCCAGCGAGACTGGAAGAAAATATGATTATTCTTAACCACATTCTCTTCGTTTCAATTAGATGACTTTGTCGTCTTCCAAGCCACAGATATCAGATTTACGAATCCCCAGCAAAAAAAAAAAGTGCTTATTATGCATAATAGGGTGGTGTATAGATAAGAGTCACATGAGATGTGCTTTTGCATATGCCTGTATATTAGGCTATGGAAATGTTTTAGCCACTGCTGCAATGTTTGCTTGCTGTGAATTAATCCATAGCCAGCAACTGTTGTGGTGTAATCCCTGAATGAAGATAAATGGTACTCAAACTACAGTCTCCTCTCATTAGAATGCAAACCACAGAGAAAACTGAGTATTTTTATATATCATCTTTGGGGAACTAATCAGCAAAGTATTCATTTGAGTGTTGCCTTATAAATCAAATTTCTACACTCATGTCCCTACAGTGATGACATTGCTGCCACCACTAAATACTGGAAGTGCTTATATATGGTAGAGCTATAGATTATTGTGATACAAAAAAGGAGATAGGTGTAGCGCTATATACATACATACAATAGGGCTGAACCTAGTATGTGGGAAAAAAAACGTCCCGATGAGAATAGTCCGAATACCATATACAGTAAACCTAAAACAAAGGAAAAAGAGCTCCGATAGTGTAACACTGTAAAGCTAAATCGTAATAAATACCAAAAACAGTAATGCACTCACATTCTCCTGAGCTTAACGCCAAGCTCAGGGATAAACATATGTAGGTCCGTAAAGACGACCTTCCCCTTCTTCTAACCGGGTAGTCTTGTCTAATCGCCTCTAGGTCTCAAAAAAAATATATGGTGTAGAACGTCTATACAAAATTATCCTACTTCTGGTGCATAATATACTCACAAAAGCAGAGCCTCTATATCGGCCCTGTCTCTGCACGTTGAATCAACAGTTGGACTCTTTAAAGCAGGAACCAACCAGCCCACAGTATCAGTGAAGAATTAATTTTATTACAAAAAAGGATATATTAAACCCTTAATAATATAAAACACAAAATAGTATAAAATATTATAAAATAAATAAAACAGTAATTAATGGGCATTAAAATGTATCATTCACTCCTTCCCAGAACGCGTTTCACCGTAACTCCGACGGCTTCCTCAGCTGGGTCCAATGTGTCTTCCCAAAGTGTAATTATCCTGCTTTTATAGTCCTCTCTTCTGCTCTGCTGTTCAAAAAAGGGCGCGCATATCCTCTTGACGCCCGATCAGTACTTGCGTTCCACACCTCATTCCCTTCTCCGGATCACTTCCGCATATGATGTCATCTCTATCAATCATGTGAACTAATACCGGGCGTCATATGCAAGTACCGTTCATCGTATCAAGTCCACAATCAAATAGTAGAAAAGAACAAGAATGAAAACGAAGACAATAAATATCCCATATCACATTAAATCTACAAAAATTCACGATCAAGAAATCCCGTGGGAAATATCCCCTTACTCTAATTCAGCATTCCTCCAGAGGAAACTGTTACAGTTAAACACACCAATAATGGTTACATTCCCTCTACATTACATATATGTTACATTATATTAGAGACCGGAAAATGAACAATACTTTTTTAAATGAAGGGAAAAGGTTTTATGGATGTGGCTATTGTTTAGCTTGCAAGACGACAGGGAATAAAAAAAGAAGTTTAACGCATTTTAAAAGTAAGGAAGATTTTAAGATAAGGGAAATGCTAACGTGTTATACAAAGAATGTTATTTATGTTCTACAGTGTCCCTGCGGTCTGAATTATGTGGGGAAAACGACTCGGGCCCTACATATTCGGATAGAGGAACATAGTAGAAACATTATGAAAGGAGCAGATAACCATAGTGTACCTGCACATTATAAACAATTTCATAATCAGTCCCCTTTAGGTTCCTTATTTTTAGGTATTAAAAAAGTCTCAAAAGATTGGAGAGGAGGCAATTTTAATCAAAAACTCAGTAGGGAGGAAATGAGAATGATTTTTGAGTTGAATACCCTCACTCCCTACGGTCTTAATACGGATTTTGAAATCTGCCACTTTTTAGAAGGATAGCTTAGTCTGTATAAATATATATTTATTCCTTTTTTTAATATGAGATGTCTTATTCTTCCATTCTCCATCCTTCACATATAGTCCCCCTATATTAAAACCAATTTTGATAGTATTTTGTCCTTTATCACAGTGTAGATTGTAGGATTTGTTAGAGATATTATATGAAAGGGACTGACAGTGTGCAGCAACTAGATACATTGTATATTTTATAATTGTGTCATTTGATGGAATTATACTTTCTAACCGTTGTAATACTCTATATGTAACATATATGTAATGTAGAGGGAATGTAACCATTATTGGTGTGTTTAACTGTAACAGTTTCCTCTGGAGGAATGCTGAATTAGAGTAAGGGGATATTTCCCACGGGATTTCTTGATCGTGAATTTTTGTAGATTTAATGTGATATGGGATATTTATTTTCTTAGTTTTTTCTCCCTGTATAGCAGAACCTGTTTATTATCATTCTTGTTCTTTTGTACTATTTGATTGTGGACTTGATACGATGAACGGTACTTGCATATGACGCCCGGTATTAGTTCACATGATTGATAGAGATGACGTCATATGCGGAAGTGATCCGGAGAAGGGAATGAGGTGTGGAACGCAAGTACTGATCGGGCGTCCAGAGGATATGCGCGCCCTTTTTTGAACAGCAGAGCAGAAGAGGACTATAAAAGCAGGATAATTACACTTTGGGAAGACACATTGGACCCAGCTGAGGAAGCCGTCGGAGTTACGGTGAAACGCGTTCTGGGAAGGAGTGTATGATACCTTTTAATGCCCATTTATTACTGTTGTATTTATTTTATAATATTTTATACTATTTTGTGTTTTATATTATTAAGGGTTTAATATATCCCTTTTTTGTAATAAAATTAATTCTTCACTGATACTGTGGGCTGGTTGGTTCCTGCTTTAAAGAGTCCAACTGTTGATTCAACGTACAGAGACAGAGCCGATATAGAGGCTCCGCTTTTGTGAGTATATTATGCACCAGAAGTAGGATAATTTTGTATAGACGTTCTACACCATATATTTTTTTTTTGAGTCCTAGAGGCGATTAGACAAGACTACCCGGTTAGAAGAAGGGGAAGGTCGCCTGTACGGACCTACATATGTTTATCCCTGAGCTTGGCGTTAAGCTCAGGAGAATGTGAGTGCATTACTGTTTTTGGTATTTATTACGATTTAGCTTTACAGTGTTACACTATCGGAGCTCTTTTTCCTCTGTTTTAGGTTTACTGTATATGGTATTCGGACTATTCTCATCGGGACGTTTTTTTTCCACATACTAGGTTCAGCCCTATTGTATGTATATAGCGCTACACCTATCTCCTTTTTTTGTATTTCTCTTTGTATTGATGTAAGTAAGAAAGATTGCATCCAGGTGTTACAGCAGCTTTTTTTAGTGTTTGGACTAGAGAGTGTTTTATTCTGTTTTAGCGCCAGTATATTGTTTTTATAGATTATTGTGGTTTATGATAAAATAGTGTACCTATAGACTGTAAGCTCATTTGAGCAGGGCCCTCTTCAACCTATCGTTTCTGTAAGTTTTCTTGTAATTGTCCTATTTATAGTTAAATCCCCGCTCTAATAATATTGTAAAGCACTACGGAATCTGTTGGCGCTATATAAATGGCGATAATAATAATAATCCGCTGGTCAAAGATAAGACGAGATGGAAGAGCCTTTCGGCTTTTAAAGACAATGTATAATTTAGTAAACCTGACTGGGTGGAAGAAAATGATCAAGTGTGTTTTGTTCTTACTTATGTAGGTCTACTTATCACTGCAGACTTCTTATTTTAAGAACAGTTAGAATGTTACTGATTTAAAAGCCGCTTTGAGAAACCAGTGTGCAACAGGAAATCAATAGCTTCTTGCAGCTAAGCATAGGCTCACAGGTATACTGTTTTGATAAACCAGTACTCAACATAAAATCGATGGGTTCATGTAGCAGAGCATAACTTAAGCATTTAGACCAGCAGCTTTTAAAGTATTTTTTACATAACTTTTCCCTTTCTCATAAATGTGCTTGACTGGCAAATTATGAGAATCTTATCAAATTCAACTATAACGGATGCTATAGCTATAGCAAATTCAACTTCTATATATATTCCAAAAATCCTCGGCACTTACCCCTTCCGTTTTTTTTAAGCCTCGGTGCAACCAGCGTACTATATATATTTTGAAATTGTAAAGTCTTTAAAGATATATTTGTAGTTATTCAAATTGTGTGTGTGTGTGTGTGTGTGTGTGTATATGTATATATGTGTATATATGTATGTATGTATGTGTGTGTGTGTGTGTGTGTGTGTGTGTGTGTGTGTGTGTGTGTGTGTGTATATATATATATATATATATATATATATATATATATATATACACACAAAGAATATGATTGTGTGTGTGTGTGTGTGTGTGTGTGTGTGTATATATATATATATATATATATATATATATATATATATATATATATATATATATATATACATATACATATACATATACATAGAGGTGCACTTGTAGGTCTTAATTTAAGTGATATTTATTCAATAATATTCATTCAAATATAAAGTCCCGATCAATGTTTTGACCCTTCAGGGTACACACACAATTTGAGTCACTACAAATATATCTTTAAAGACTTTTCAGTTTCAAAATTACTGCGTGTTTTGCAATGTAAAGAGTCTACGCAGATTCAAGGGTCACTATAGACTTCAAAACAACTTTAGCTTAATGGAGCAGTTTGTTGGTGTTTAGATCATTCCTCTTCAGTCTCGCTACTCAGTTCTCTGCCATTTAGGAGTTAAATCACTTTATTTATGCAGCCCTAGTCACACCTCTCTGCATCTGACTTACACAGCCCTCCTCAACACTTCCTGCATAGAAAGAGATAATTGTTAAGACACCCCTGGTGTCTTTAAGGGAAACCGCCGTTTAGTTCACCTTCCCCTTTCGCAATTCAGTAAACCGTTCGCATCAATTATAATCCACGAACCATAACCAGGGGAAGCGGTAATCTCCCGACCGGGATCCGTGAAAGCCTCCAAACTCCCGATGGAAATCCACGAACTGCTGCTAGCCGCCGAACAACGATATCCACCAAACTGCTTTCGGTTCCATCCAGCAGTCTTTAAACGCAAAGAAGAAATCCCCCCCAATAACAAGACAGAAGCTCCGCATTGAGGGTCAAACAGGATCTGGCTTTACTGTGGGCTACCTGCCCGTATTTATGCAGGTCTCCCACTTGGTGGACACTCCCCTAGGGGACCAAATGGGAGACTGGAATTACAGATGGACATGAAGACATTCCAGACATACAGTCACAGCTTTTACCCACAATGCAATATGGTTTCCTCCCTTCTGCCCTGGAGATAATTGAGAAGTAATTCAATTATCTCCAGGACAAAGACAAATCGTCATCTTAAATACAATACTAGAAAATACATAAAAATATATAACTTTACAATAACCGAACATTTCACATTCGCATCACATATCCCCAGATAGCCTGGATCTGAGTGCATATTATTAGCGAATAGCGCTCAGATCCCACACACATAGTTCAATCGCCATGGAGTCAAAGTTCTTACAGTCTTTCGGTATGCGATTGACTCCATGGGAAGGCTATCTGGGTTAAGTCCTTTTGTGTGTTTCAAAACTCCCGAACGGCCGGTGTTCGTATGCTTTCGTGGAGGCAGCCAGGCGTTCCGTTGTTTCAGCGGTGTTCGGCAGAAGAAGTGTCCGTTTTTAGTTCCATGAAAATAGAGCCGAACACCGCCGGGCTTTTGCGTGTTTTAAAATGGCCGCTGCCTCGTGGTCGACATACGAACGACGACCACCCTGAATTTGGTTTAATTGAGAAGTGTCTGCGGTTAACCACAACGTTCTAATTGGGATCAAGAGGTTAACCAGCAGCACACTTCTCTCCTGGGTGGCCATCCATTCGTTAGTTTTGTTCTGGAAAAACAGTCATTCATATGGCTGGGCTATAGGAAACAGCCATTTACACGAACGGGGCAAAAACAGACGAATCCACCGCAATAACCAGACAGATGGTTCTGTCACAATAATGTTTAATTTACCAACAATTAATGTATCTAAAATGTAATTTAGAACAAGAACAATGTATTTTATTTACACAGACTGATATCTAAACACATTTATTGTTTTTCAAAGACTCATTGCTGGGAGTATTATTGCTGTGGAGCTCTGTTATACACTAATACACCAACAGTATGGAACTCCCAGAAAAGAGGGACAGATGAATTGGGCCTATAGGTACTGTACATCCTAAATAGGGACACTTGGCAGGTATGCTAAAACTGCTTTATTAGAGGAACACTATAGTCACCAGAACAACTACATCTTAATGTAGTTGTTCTGATAAGTATAGAATGCCCCTGCAGCTTTTTTTGCATTAAACACTGCCTTTTCAGATAAGTTAAATTTTATTACTTTATATGGGGGCGGGGGGGAGGAAAGCCACCTAAATGGTGGTTTTGTCACTATAGGGTCATGAACATATTTTGGTTTTTGTTCCTGACCCTATAGTGTTCCTTTAAGCTAAATTTATTTAGATGCTTATAGTCCTTGTTATGTTGCTACAAGCAAGTTTATGTGGGGAACATAACTGCTATATTAGGTAGGCTTGCATTTGTCCATGTGTCAAGACCAATCTCGCCACATTGCATTGGAGAAGCCTGGTTGCTCGCCTGTTGCCTTTGGATTATGGCTCCATGTTAAAAGGCTTGATTTTCCCCATGCAAAGACAAGAAAGCCGGGTCATTTGGTGCTTGCCCTGTTTGAGCAGTGATACCCCAGATAGCTATGCCATGGAGCCCATTCGTATAATGAAAGACTTTGGCTCCATGGCAATTGAACTGTATGTGTGTGCTCTGAGCGCCATTCAGTAATAATGTGCGCTCAGATCTGAGCTATCTGGGGATATGTTGCATGTCTGTATTTTATGTCATAAATGTAACCTTGTGTATTTTATTGTATTTTACTGTCTTTTTGCTGCCATGTGTTCAATGGAGTTTTACCTCTGTCTTTGGAGATAATTGGATTACTTCACAATTATCACCAGGATAGAAGACTCTGTGGAACTGGTTTTGGGACAAAAAGCCATGCTTCCTGTGGTCACAAAGGACTTCGATCTATCTTTTGAACCACTGGACCAATTTGTATGATTTTTGACGTATGTTTGTATTTGGAGTATGCTGATTCTGAAAATTTATGTTTTATGTGAATGTGATGCATACTTTTCAAGTTATGAATAATGTGGAGAAATTGGATTTCTCTGCTTGTGCTAAATTACATTACCCATTGTGTAAGGTAATTGAATCACAAGCAGAGAGGAGGAATTTGTGTGGGAGTGTCTGAGTGTATATTGGTTGTGTTCCAAAACCCTGTGGGTGGTACTAATGTGTAAGAATGTGTACATAAGGACAATAAACCCACAGCTCTGACTGTTCACTGCTTGACCCTCAACACGGAGCTTTGTTTCGTTCTTGGGGGGATTTATTGTATGCTGTTCCAGTTCGACTGCTAAGAGAGTAAACCTATTCGGATGGTTTTTCCTATTCGGCTGCTTACGGCATTCATATGGTTTCCTGTTCGGCGGATTGGTGTTCTGCAGTAGCTGTGCCTGTATCTCTGGAAGGGGAAGATCTCCTAAACGGCGGTTTAACCCTTTTATGCTGAGGGTGCCGTTACAGTCCAAGTTAACTGTTACTACAATCCCTCTTATGTTCAATGGCTTTAGTTTTGTGTGTTTTTTTGTTTTTCTTTGCTTTATGAATTTGTTTTGTATCTTACATTTTTTATTTTTTTATTTTAGTGTTTTTAGAAATGCACGTTAACTGTTTTTATTAGCATATTTATATTCTTGCTATATCATTTAGAAGCCCAGGCCATTCATCATCACCTTTTCACTCATACTGTTTTATTTGTATTAAGTGCTGCAAGTACATTTTTAGCAAAACAAGGAGATTTTTACAAATGTAAACAAATCCACATACAACAAAAGCCTTTTCGGTTCTATTTCTTTTGACCTGTTTGTGATTTGCTGGGTAATCTCACTTCATCTATATTGCTTTACTGTATTCAGTTTGTGTTTCTTATTTACATATTCATCTGAAAACACCTTGTACTAATAAACAAGAGATGTAGTCCCAAAATATAATTTTAATGTAGATAAAATCCTGCTACTGAAAAGAATACATATTTTGTAATATTATTATTATGTTGTTATTTATATAGCGCCAACAAATTCCGCAGCGCTTTACAGTGGGTGGACGAACAGACATGTAGTTGTAACCAGACAAGTTGGACCCACAGGAACAGATTTACATTCTATGTATCATAATTCATATCTTTGTATAATGATTTACTACTCCCTAAAGGAATCCTTGCATTTTTTTTGTTTATGTATAAGCATTAAATAGATTTCACATGTATCGTGTTTTCTGCCAATCTGTTAATAACCCCTTAGCGACCCAGGACGGTTCAGGACCGTCATCGGCATTTTTGCCTTGAGGACCGATGACGGTCCTGAACCGTCCTAACGGTTCTATTTACTTACCTGATCACCGTCGTTCCCCCGGCGGCGATAAGCGGTGCTCCCGTTGTGGGGAGACTGCCTGCAGCCCAGACAGTCTCCCCACACTGAATTAGGACCCCTGTGGCCATGTGATCGCTCAACAGAGCGATCACATGGTCACAATAGGTGTCCATGTGTCTGCCTGCAGGGGGACTGCCTGTGCTGACAGGCAGTCTCCCTGCTAGTGTAAAATCAGAAAATAAAATAAAGTTAGTGTTAATTAAAAAAATAATAATAATTATATATGTGTATATATGATATATAGACATATATTATATCTATATAATATATGTCTATATATCCTATATATATAATGCCATACTAAGTGTATTTTTATATTAATATGTACTTATATTAATATAAAAATACACTTATAATTAAATTACACACGTATATATATAATATATATAATAACTATATATAGTATATATATATTATTATAAAATATAAATAATACATTTAAATTAAATAAAAAATTTTTAAAATAATAATAAAAAATAAAAAAAAATTATATCTATATGAAATTTTATTCTAACTGTATTTTAAAATTAATATATATATATTTATATCAAAATACACTTAGAATGAATTTGTATATATATCTATGTATATAAAAATAATAAGAAATATACATATGTCCATATACAAAATTACATAAATAATTATATAAATATACACGTAGACTTCAGATATATAAATATGCATATATATTTAAATTCTACGTGCGTATTTATGTAATAGTTCAGTACATAATTCAGTAATTTTATTGATTGCAATTTAAGGGACCTGCCTGCCAACCCAGGCCGAAATTCCAGAGAATTGAATTTGCTAGCACTGTATTTTACCCTGTAACGTTCTACGACACCCTAAAACCTGTACATGGGGGGTACTGTTTTACTCGGGAGACTTCGCTGAACACAAATATTAGTGATTCAAAACAGTAAAACATATCACAGCGATGATATTGTCAGTGAAAGTGACTTTTTGCATTTTTCACACACAAACAGCACTTTTACTGATGATATAATTGTTGTGATACGTTTTCCAGTTTTTAAACACTAATATTTGTGTTCAGCGAAGTCTCCTGAGTAAAACAGTACCCCCCATGTACAGGTTTTATAGCATTTTTGAAAGTTACAAGGTCAAATATATGGGTCAAATATTTTTACATTGAAAATGGCCAGGTTAGTTACGTTGCCTTTGAGAGCGTATGGTAGCCCAGGAATGAGAATTACCCCCATGATGGCATACCATTTGCAAAAGAAGACAACCCAAGGTATTGCAAATGGGGTATGTCCAGTCTTTTTTAGTAGCCACTTAGTCACAAACACTGGCCAAAATTAGCGTTCAATTTAGTTTTTACTTTTTTCACACACAAACAAATATGAATGCTTACTTTGGCCAGTGTTTTCGACTAAGTGGCTACTAAAAAAGACTGGACATACCCCATATTGAATACCCTGGGTTGTCTACTTTTAAAAAAAATATGTACATGTGGGGTGTTATTCAGAGATTTATGACAGATAATAGTGTTACAATGTCACTATTGATAAATTTTAAAAATGTATGTTTTGAAACCGCAATATCCTACTTGTACCTATAGCCCTATAACATGCAAAAAAAGCATGTAAACACTGGGTATTTTTAAACTCAGGACAAAATTTTGAATCTATTTAGCAGTTTTTTTAATTTGCTTTTGTAGATGAGTAAAAGATTTTTCAAGTAAAAGTCAAAAAACATGTATTTTTTTCAATTTTTCATCATATTTTTTTATTTTTTTAAAATTAAAATACATGAGATAATATAAATAATGGTATGTAAAGAAAGCCCCTTTTGTCCTGAAAGAAACAATATATAATTTGTATGGGAACAGTAAATGAGAGAGCGGAAAATTCCAGCCAAACACAAACACCACAAAAGTGTAAAAATATGCCTGGTCGCAAATGTACAACATCGCAAAAACAGTATAGTCCGTAAGGGGTTAAAATGTATAATGTTTACCAGAGTTAATAATCAGAATAAAATGAGATTCAATTATTAAACAAACCGGTTTTACCCATACAAACTTGTTTTTAGCTGATACTTCTTAAGGTTGTTTTGTTTTGTTTTTTTGCATTTGATACCAGTTGGTTTTGTAGCAAAATGAAAGGAAGGTACAGCCAATTGTGTAAAATGAAAATGCATAATAATATGACTGACAAATGGTGCTTTCCATCGGTATACTAAATTATCAAACAGTCTCTCTGGCTTTGGTGTGCCAGCTAGCTCAGCCAGCGGGCAAATAGTTCTTCGGATTATCATTCACTTGCTAAAAAGCAATTAAACGGTCATTTTTAAATGTGCATACTGCATTTAGAACTGAATTGTATTAATATCCGTTGTTTGTGAATCTTCTGAATCTTATATTTGGTATATGTTTTTTTTTTTTTTTTTAATATTATTATTGAGTTTTAAAGAAATATATACATATAATGTAATAACAATAAACATATCGACAATACACATTGATAATAAATGAGTTTTAACAACAATGAGTCTGCAAAGTTAACAACAATATAATGAAGAAAAAATAAATAAATAAAAAATTTAAAATCGGGGCGAAAATAATACAAATAAACTTAAACAATAAAATAATTTTGTAAAATGGTATAGGGTTTTTATGTGAAAGCACTGATTTTAATCTGGACACCGAATCCATACAGTTTATTGCAGCAGTTTTGCTTTGGTCGACCAAATTCCAACCGTATTTAGGTTTAGTAAATATAAGAATTGCCATAGTAAAATCTGGTGTTTAGCGAATAATCCTGTTTGACTGTGTGCACCAAAACTTTGCTATGTTGTAGTCAAAAACTGATGCCTATAAATTTTGTTTCATTATTTAACAAAGAAAACTTTTTTTTTTTTTCTGCAGAATATTTTCAACATGGTTGTGGAAGTACCAAGATGGACCAATGCAAAAATGGAGGTGTGTTTAATATCGCATTTAAATTAATTTCTCTAAACTTAATAACTTGTCTTATGATTGATAATTGGCTTCTTACATCCACACTCTAGTCTAGCCTATTAGCAGCATGTTCCTTCAGATGCAAATGAGCTCTGCTTTGGATTATGGGAAATGCTAAATAAGTTGAAACATTTAAAATATTAATGGAAGAGGAAGAATGCAGAGATGTAAATGGTAAAAAAAAATGATGCGTTGTTTCTATTTCTACTATCAGAAAAAAATGTGTCAAATCTAAAGAAGAAGAAAAAAACTATCAATGTGTGGTTGTCATAGGTCACTCAAAGTTTGCCTCTTTATTTAATCACTCAAAATACTTAAAGGACCACTATAGGCACCCAGATCACTTCAGCTTAATGAAGTGGTCTGGGTGCCTGGTCCAGCAAGGGTTAACCCTTTTTTAAATAAACATAGCAGTTTCAAAGGAACTGTTATGTTTATAAATAGGTTAATCCAGCCTCTAAAGCCTCTAGTGGCTGTCTCATTGACAGCCGCTAGAGGCGTTTGTGTGCTTCTCAGTGTGAAAATCACAGTGAGAAGACGCAAGTGTCCATAGGAAAGCATTATGAATGCTTTCCTATGAGACTGGCTGAATGCGCACGCAGCTCCTGCCGCGCATGTGCATTCAGCCGAAGAGGAGGATCGGAGAAGGAGAGCTCCCCACCCGGCGCTGGAATAAAGGTAAGTTTAACCCCTTTCCTCGCCATCCAGCCCGGCGGGAGGGGGACCCTGAGGGTGGGGGCACCCTCAGGGCACTATAGTGCCAGGAAAACGAGTATGTTTTCCTGGCACTATAGTGGTCCTTTAAAGGGTTTGTCATGTAATGATAGCCCTGCAAAGTAAAACTAAAAAGAGCAGAGTTAATTTCTTAGCCCATCTAGAATTTGTCTTTTGAACGATTATATTTCGAGCACACCCTGCTAGCTGTCTATAGGAACATGCTGGTTGTTCTCAGCTCCTTTTGTTTGTTTTAGTGTCTTGTAAAGTATGATTTGAGATGTGTGGGTTTTTTTTATTTTTATTTTTTTTTAGCATTTTGTTTATTATTTATTTTGTGAGATGTTGTATCAATGCTTTGTATGCACAATAAAATATGTAATACTAAATGTGTTAAAGTGAAGTCTTTTTATTAAAACCTTCTATGGTAGTAAGAAGAATGCATAATTACAAATGTTTGATCCACCTCTTTAATTTAAATGACCACCATAGTGTGAGGAATACAAACGTATATTCCTGACACTGTAGTGCTAAATGTGGCACATTAAACCTTAGTAAAACTAACTTTTTTTTTTCGTGCCAGTCTTGCCATGGCTAGCCCTGCCAACACAAATTTGACGATCTCCGCCAATCCAGTGCTTTTCCATAGGAAGGTGTTTGGAGGCTCTTCCCAATCAGTGCATCTCTGAGGATTGTTCATCGCCTCCATGCAGAGTGTGGAGACGCTGAATATCCGTGCAGGACTAACCTAGGAAGCACTTTTAGTGGCCTGACTGCCCCAAGATGTGTTACTAGGCAGCAATGTAAGCACATTTACATACTATATACACTCACTTTTTAAAAAAGCCGCTACCAAACTTTGGTGTCAGTTTGGGTGACAATGCCTGCTCCCATAGTGTGTGTGTATGTGTCTGTGTCTCGAGCAAAAAAGCCCCATGCATGTAGAGAGCAAATTATACTTTCGGAGGATGCTGTATGAGACATTAAAATGTTGAAGGCAATATGTAGCTGTCAGGCAAAGAGCCCTGGGAGGTGATGAGTCAGGGTCTGATGTTGACCACTTCCATAGCTCAGCAGTGGCCGTATCATATTGCAATGCCCCCTCTCCTTGCCCAGTAAGCTCACTACCAAGACATGCCTCAGCTGGACACAAAACGCCAGAACCACCTAGTATGACTTCACTTCCCTCTTTAGGGGTTTCATTGGTCTCCCCCATCTGTGTATTTCACATTATCCCCTCTGAGAACCCTGCCTTCAACCAAGAGAAAGAATGGAGCCGATCTTTACCTTCCAAATCCCCCTATAACAGCTATGGGTCAAGGTTAAACTAATTTTAAAAGTGCCTGCCCAGCGCCTGGATCTAGATATACCAAGTGTCAGGCAATAGATATTCCACATTGCTGAGTGAGTGCACTGGAAGAGTGGGGTTACCATGTCTTATCCTCTTAGCACTCTTTCTGCAGATTGGTACATTGGGAGTATAGAGAAGCGGATGGACTGTGCCTGTACTGAGAGCACATGTAGCTCCAGGGAGAACTTCCAGTACACTGAAGTGTCTTTTAAACGTGTTATGTTTTTTTCTTCTCTTTGTATTTGCAGATTGCCACAAAAGACCCTATGAATCCCATCAAGCAAGATGTCAAGAAAGGCAAGCTACGTTACGTGGCTAACGTTTTTCCTCACAAAGGCTACATCTGGAATTATGGGGCAATTCCTCAGGTACTAAAATACTTCTGAACTGGATGTTTTTTTTTTATTTTTATTTTTTTATAGTAATCTACTTAAAGGGTCGGTTTATACACACTAAAACATCACATTACTACAAAATGCATTGTTCTTAGAGCACCCTGAAGCCACTCACTTTTCTGAGGGTGCCTTACAATGGCAGTAATTTATTAAAAAAATAAATAAATGACATTATAAGAGATTCCACCATGGCCATCAGTCAACTTCGCTCTTGTTTGCATTAAAGGGACACTACATTCACCAGAACAACTACAGCTTAATGTGGTTGTTCTGGTGAGTATAATAGCTCCCTTCAGGCATTTTCACGTAAACACTGCCTTTTCAGAGAAAAGACAGTGTTTACATTGCCCCTAGGGAGGCACTTCCTGGGTCAGTGCTGCCGAAAAAGCAGCACTGACGTTCCGCGTCCCCACGCTCTGCATGGAGACGCTGAAATTTTCTCATAGAGATGCATTGATTCAATGCATCTCTATGAGGAGGTCTTGATTGGCCAAAACGTCATTTGGCCCCGCCCCGTGCCGATTTTAGCCAATCCAATGCTTTCCCAATGGGAAAGCATTGGATTGTCTAAAAACTGGCCATTTTGATGATGTCACAAAGGGGGCGGAGCCAGCGCCAACCGACCCGCACGTCGCTGGAAATAAGGTGAGTTTTATACTTTTATAAGGTGGATAAGGGGGACAGGAACGGGGCAAGCCACGTAAATGGAGGGTTTAACACTATTGGGTCAGGAATACATGTTTGTGTCCCTGACCCTATAGTGATCCTTTAAGTTAGTTTAGTCATGTTTTGCTCTCTCCTGGGGCCACAGTTTAATGAACTGGGCTGTATTTTTTGCTGATAACAGCCATGGTATGGTGGCACAAAAGAGGAAGAGAGACGTGAGAGGTGTTACAACCTAGTAAAAAAAAGTTTGCTAAAATCTATTTTGTAACCAAAGATAAACTAAAGTATTTTCAAAAAATAAACTGCCACCCATTGTAAAACCTCAATCAAAATATGAATTTTAATTGTTTTCTCTATCAGAAGGGGTAAACTTACTGTAATAACTCAATCCTCAAAATACATCAACATTCAGGACCATCCCTCTCTCAGGGTTTGTTCAAACATGCCTCTGTAGGGAAAAATATCCTTGCTAGATAACTTTCTCTAAACTACAGAACAAGCAAGCAGGTTTGTTAAAGGCAAATCCCTATTCTGCCTTTGTATGGATTAAGCTAAAGTGTTTGTATATCCATTTATGATCTGCCTCATTAAAACATGCTAATTTAGCTACAGATATATCGTACCCAGAAAGTTTTTACCTTTTTTTGTACAGCATATATAGTCCAGTTGGAGTGGATTGTAGACTCTATACAAGTAAATAGATATGTGTGCAGTATGCCAGTGAATATATCATTGAGATACCTTGGCTAATTCTTCCATATAACTTTGTTATTCCTTCTAATGTTCTCGAATGGATAGTTTTTAACTCCGGTTTATTTGTGGTATAGGTGATCATTTTGTAGAAGGGATAAAAATTATTGATGTTGTTATTGAGTTTATTTTCCACACAGAAAGCTTTGCTATTTAAGTGATATACTTACGAGGTGATTTCGCATGTAGCACAATTTATAATAAATGGGAGTTCACAGGCAGCATGGGGGAAGAGAGAGGCAGGAATGAGCTGCTGCATACTCCCATGCACACTCCCAGCAGTCTCGGCCTGCATCACCAGGCCCCCAAGCAAGCCACCCCCTGGACACAAAAGTAGGGATGCACCGAAATGAAAATTCTGGGCCGAAACCAGAACCGAAAATTCAGGATGCCTTGGCCGAAAACCAAAAATGACCTTTTCCCCCAAATGATTTAAAAAAAAAAAAAAGTTTTTGTCCTAAAATTGTATTAATATTAGACTCCCTTCTCTTTTAGTGGTCCCCCTGCTTAATGTTCCTCTCTCTCCCCCCTCCCCCCCATGTGTTCCTCTCCTCTCCCTCTTTTTTTAGTGTTCTTTCCCCCTTTAATTTTGTTTTCTAATTTCGGCGCCCATTGTCGGCGGAAATTTCGGTGCATCCCTACACAAAAGGTATGCTAACAGGAGGGTGGCTGCAAATTTAAAAAATATTATGTGTGTGTGTGTGTGTGTATATGCATGTGCCGATGTCTCATAGAAACATAGAATGCGATGGCAGATCAGAACCATTTAGCCCATCTAGTCTGTCCCAATTTTCTATATACTTTCATTAGTCCCTGGCCTTATCTTAAGTCTAGGATAGCATTATGCCTATCCTATGCATGCTTAAACTCCCTCACTGTGTTAACCTCTACCACTTCAGCTGGAAGACTATTCCATGCGTTCACTACCCTCTCTGTAAAGTAATATTTCTTGAAATTGTTTTTAAACCTTTGCCCCTCTAATTTAAGACTTTATGTCCTCTTGTTGTGTTTCGGTTTGTGTATCTGTGTGTGGATGTGCTAGGGTGTATAGTTCTGTGTGTTGGTATGTCGGAGTGTGTGCAAATGCCAGTTTGTGTATCTGCGTGTCAGTTTGTGGATGTATCAAGGTGTGTGCATGTGTCACTGTGTTTATATATGTGTGTTAATGTGTATGTATATCTGTGCAAGTAGGCATGTGCATACATCACATGAATCCAACACAACATACAAACACCCCCGTAATTTCAAACTCCAAAATTTATATACAAACACACCCCTTCACTCAAACACCAATGCTACACCTAAATGTACATCTGTAGTTAAAAGCCAAAACTACATCCAAACATACTCCTGCATTTAAAAGCCAACACTATGTATAAATACACCCCTGCATTCAAACCCAAACATTACACACAAGTACACCACTGCAACCCAGTGCTAACAGTACATACAAATGCATCGCTACATGCATACTTGTACTCATACATAAAAAAATGCTTACATTCAAACGCACAAACACTGCTCACAAATGCAACCCTGCAAGGATGGCCAAATGTTAGATCCACAGCTGGCATAGCATCAGGGGAGTTGAATGACAGATGGGGATCTGTCTTTTTGCCACTATTACGCTAAAGGCCGGGCCCAAAAAATGTCTTGCATCAGGGTCCTCTCTACATTAGTTCTGCCATTGGGTTGGGGTGGAGGGCGTTATTGCATCTCAGGGATTGGGAGAGGATGAGGTTCCAGAGCACACAAGTAAATGCTTGCCCTGGGTCCAATCAATATTAAAGATGGCCCTGTGGAGTTACTGACAAAACTTGGTCCTTTGCTGGGTGATGAGGACTGGTTTGGGAACCACTTCTTTAAATGGATGTCTGTTGTTTCTTTTTATATCTGTAGTAATTCTTGGTTGGTTACTTTGAATGTCCTGTAATTGATAGTTTCAATAAGAACTTGAAAATATAACAAGTGCCAGAAAGTTCCTGAAAGCAAGCGTATAATCATGAAACCTTTTAAACCCATTTTTCGTGCCATGGCAGTTCTTGTACACTATATTTAGTGAGAAGACAGGCTTTATCCTAACATTACTTGTGTGTCCTACGCCGTTTATAGTGCTAAACTCTCATGAAAGGACTACCATTATAAAGAAAGAATGGTACTAAACAAACACTGTGATCATCTACAGCACACAAATGTTGTGTTAAAAGTGACCTGATGGATTATTAAAGTGTGTGTGTGTGTATGTATGTGTGTGTGTGTGTATGTGTGTATATATATATATATATATATATATATATATATATATATATATATATATATATATATATATATATATAATTATTATTATTTTTTTATTGAGGAATAGACTTTCCATTGCAAATATAATCAAGCACTCGTACACCTAAATGGCATATATTAGTGAGTTCACATGAGCAATAGGTATGACATTACACATAAAACATAAATGTTAGACACTAAGGTCACAGGTTGTACAAGTCCTTAATAGAAGGAAAATAAAAAAGAGAACAAAGTTTAAGTGATAGCAAACTGATGGTAAAATTGGTCCCTATTGGAGGGCAGTCAGGAAGAGAGGTCCATATTCTAGAACAGAATTCCACATGGTGTGTTACACCTTTGTCCCAGTCATATCCCAACCTGACATACAAACACTAACATTGCTGGATTATGGTCATTGAGGGGAGTCAAAATAATCCAGCCATGGGCCCCATATTTTCACATATTTCTGTCTGACGCTCATAGAATACCAATGAATTTCCTCCATCACCTGGCTTGTCCCCAGAATGCAGGTATGAGGATCACGAGCATCAGAAGCCTCCTACCAAACTGGAGATAGTTGATTCCAGCTGTTAAAAGTATTGCAGGTAAAAAAACACCATCCAAGACGATCTTGTAGAGGTATTCAGTCTCTGAGATGTCTCTATATGAAGCACCTAATGCCTCTGCCTCGCTCTTTTTACAAGCTGCTGTGAAAGAAATTGGTTTGTCTCTAATCACTGCTTGGTGTGCTCCCCAAGTGATTATTGGGGACATTTTCTGAATGAATTTTATTTTTCCCCCCGGAATGCATGTATGATCTGTGCTATAGCAGGATTGCGTAAGAATGCTTAATTTACATTGCTTAGACCTGTGTAGGGTCTGATTAGGTCACTGGCTCAATCTGGCTGTCGTAATATTAGTAAATGTACACGTGGAATATAAAAGTAGTCTAGCAAGAACAGTGGGCCACCGAATAGAAAGTATAGCACCTGTCCATGGCGTGCGGGACCTTCCAGCATCTAACTATCTTGCATTTCTGAACCCAGGTGACCAGTTTAGATTTTCTTGGGTGTGTCTATGCCCTATCAAGACACCCTCGATGAACATAAAGTGAATTTTTTGAAGTTACCGGTGTATATGTTTGTAGAAGTCCCCTGCTGAGTCACTTCCAAAATTTCAAATTGCGCATGTCTACAAAATTGCTATACAATGCCAGCAAAAAATGGCACTGGGCCACTCCTCAGAAACTGCATCTCTTGCACGAAGGCTAACAATACTTTAGGTGCCTTGATATCTTGTATGGGATGAGATAGCGTTTCTCAGATGTTTAGGCCTGTAGCATTAATAATGTGTGTATGTTTCAATGTGTGTGCATGTGTCACTGTTTATATATGTGTGTTAATGTGTATGTATATCTGTGCAAGAAGGGATGTGCATACATCACTTGAATCCAACACAACATACAAACACTCCAGTGAATTCAAACTCCAAAATTTATATACAAGCACACCCCTTAACTCAAACACCAATGCTACACCTAAATGTACATCTGTAGTTAAAAGCCAAAACTATATCCAAACATACTCCTGCATTTAAAAGCCAACCCTATGTACAAATACACCCCTGCATTTAAAGAGAGGAAATCAGAAAAAAAGAGGGAGGGGGATGTTAAGTTAATTTTTTACTTTCCAGATGGCAGTTATGTAAATTTGCCTTTTTGTCTAAAAGTATCAATAATAGACTGGATATTTGAGCCACTGAGTCACAAATGGCCCCTCCACTTTTTTTTTTTTTTTTTACAACACAAGAGAAAATGCTGCAAGCAACTACAAAGCGGTCCCCTATGTCCATTTATTTGATACACCGCATCTGTTTGTTACATACCAGCAAACCAAGCTAGGTTTCCCGTGATCTGTATAATCACTAGGTCTGTCATTCAGTGATTACAATATGGTTCTTTTACATAACTGAACTAGTGTACGGCAGGTGCAGACTCAAAGGTTAGCTGTAATGTTCTGATATCCACATGTATTAGGTTATCAGCAGGAAGCACAAGCCTAGCTCAGATACATTGTGCACAGTTTCACTTACATCATAGCGCCCGTTCTGATAACCTTATGTGTAGATGTGTGTACTAAGTGTTGTGATGGCTGTTGCTTTAAATCAGCATCCCTTACTGCATTGCTGGCGGTTAACGTAATGCATTTTCTGTAAGCAAGCCTGCAGATAAGAAGTAAGGCCCTCACTTCTTTCATACAGGCCTTGGAATGAAAAGTAGATCATCACTGTATTTAAGCTAATAGTACATGTTTTCATCAACCCAAGTACTGTTTCGTCTTCGTTTGGTAGTATTTGCTTGTCCTAGTATTATGTTTGCTAGGCTTCATTCTCTGTTCATTTGTGTATCAACAACAATGTAGTATTCTTGTCACTATTCTGTGTGTACATTTACATTTTCTTAATGCACGCAGATCACTTTCTAATATAAATTTTTATTATTCTATATTTTTGCAGTTTATTACAAAATAATTTTCAGTAAAGATTTAAAACTGTAGCCCTGCCTCCTGGATCTTTAATGGGAAGTTGTTCAATGTCTTCCACGCCTTGTCCTTCAGACACATTGAAGGACATGGCCCACCAGGATACTGGGAAATTTCCCACTGGGCTGCAGTAGTCTGAACTGCTCCTCTGCACAGCCGCAGATATGGGAGGAGGAAACAGCACCAACAAAGGTACCGAGTGTTTCCTAATATTGCAGGTGGTTCTCGATGTTAGATCACCTGCAGTAATTAATGAGCGCATTATCTGAAGTGTCTGAAGGAGCTGGTCAGGAACCTGCCTGACCACACCTACCAGCTCCATGAAGGAGAGAGAAGGAAATTGCCTTTTAAGCTACTTCCCCTAGCATCACACTGCATGGGAGCTGCCAGTTCAGGGGGGCACGAACGTGATGCAGCTCAGCTGGCAGGTATACAGCGGTGATGAAGAGAATGGTGGCTCCCGTGAGGGACACATTCATGTTAGTAAATTTTCCAAATTAGCCAAATTATGCAAAGTCCCCAGTCCACTTCAAGCTGCATGCAGCCAAAATTTTCAGACTGCTTGCAACTTTGGGGCCACCCATATCCACACATAGTAAAAAAGGGATCTGTACCTTTTCTAGTAAATAAATGAGATAAAGGCATACAAGCCAAGGAGGCGGGTTGGCAGGGGAGCAGTGGCGAGCCAGCATCTCCTCGTAGAGAAGCATTAAATCAGTGCATCTCTGAGGAATGTTCATTGTCTGCATGCAGAGCGTGGAGACGCTGACCATGCAACACTGACTTAGGAAGCACTTCTACTGGCCATCTGACTGACTGCCACTGGAGGTGTTCCTAGGAAGCAATGTAAGCACGGCCTTTACTTTGAAAAGCCTGCATGGACCAGCTATAGACACCAGAACAACTACATTAAGCTGTAGTTGTTCTGGTGACTATAGTTTATATTTACATCAAAATTTAGTTCACTCAGGGCATAGCCATGGCACACATTGCATTGGAGGAGAAAGCATATGGGGGATACTTATCAAGGTGTCAATTTCTAAAATGTGGTGCAAAATGTAAAATTTGAGTTGACAATGGAATATGTCTGCTGTTTCCACGGTAACTGCCAACTTTTTAAACCGAATACTGTGATCCCCCTCTCCCATAATTTTTTTCATCACCACATGCTACGTTCAATGATTAGAGGCAGAGCTTGTAATAATGATCGACAGGCTGCTATAATTTTATTTACCCAGTTTCAGGATAGAGCTTAAAACAGAATGGCGGAATTCTACTTTTACTTTTATTTTTCTGATCCAACAAACACATTTTGCTTAAATACAGGGAATGAGTAAACATAATGTCTAACATGCCAGGATGTGACAGTCTCCCTTTAATCCATCAGCTCTTTCCTGCTCATGTTATTTCTCTCCAGTAACAGAGTTGAATGATTTGAAAGCCACTTATGAATTTGGTTCCGTTGAGATTCACTCAGGCACGTGTACCCGTATGTGTTGATGTCAAAAGCCGAGGCATAATCAGTGCTTGTGTTCCCTGACAAATACCAGATTATTATACCACGAAGTTTGTAGTGTTCTGTAGTTCCTGTGGGAGCACTGTGCATGCTTTGTTGGACAAGGGCATTGGTGTAGGTGATGAGACAGTAGAAATAGATATTTGACCATCTGATTTTCAGTGTTCGTATCTACAAAGTCTCTGCAAACTAAGTTTTGAAATCATTTTTTTTTTTTATATATATATATTTAGCATCTTTAAAATTCTAGCACCAATGGTAGGTAGCTTGCATTGCTTTACAAAAAAACTTTCAAAATGGCATTTGCAGTCAGGTCAGTATTATTGTCATTTTACTGCTATCCTCTACAGCATTTCACAAATAGTGTTCTGCGGAACTCTGGGATTTTGCGAGAACAAAAATGGGGTTCCACCCTAATATCGCCAACCAAAATGACCGCTGCAATTTTATTGCTTAACAGGGCCTGGTTGGGTGCCACAGCCCCATTAAGAGCACAACTGGGCCCCTGTTAATTCCTCCCACTTCATAGTTGCTGCTACGCGCGCAGGAGGGAGGAGGAGGCTGGAGAGTGCTGTCTGGACAGGCAACAGCAAGGATGGCAGAGGAGAGGTTGGAGTGAAGTGAGCTGCTGCATGCTCACTCCCATCAGCCTCAGCCAACACCACCAGGACCACAAGCAAGCCACCCTCCTGGACTCACAAGGTAAGCTCACAGGAGGGTGGCTGTGATGTATGTGCCAGTGTGTGTGTTTGTCAGTGTGTGTATCTGTGTGTCAAGGTATGTCACTGTTTGTATATGAATGTGTGTGTGTATCAGTGTGTTTTGTATATGCCAATGTGTATCTGTGTGTGTATATGTCAGTATGTGTTTGTCAGTGTGTCAGTGTGTTTGTGTGTATCAGTCTTTTTGTATGTGCCAGTGTGTGTGTGTATGTCAATGTTTGTATGTGTATCTCTGTCACTGTGTGTGTGTGTATGTCGGTATGGGTGTATTAGTGTATTTGTATGTGCCAGCGTGTGCATCTGAGCCAAAAGAAGGCAAAAAACCCAGTCTGAAGTGCTTCCAATTTTGCAACAAACTAGGAAAAGATTCCTTTTTGACTCCAAAATGGCAATCAGATATTTCCTTGGATCAAGCAGCTATTACCCCACTAATTAGAAATTATATCCCTGTATGTTATGTTTTGGAAATATTTATCAAATTTCTGTTTAAACATCTGTATGGACTCCGATAAAACCACCTCTTCAGGCAGAGAATTCCATATCCTTATAGTTCTTACTGCAAAAAAATATTTCCTTTGCTTTAGAATAAATCTCCTATTTTCCAGCCTAAGTGCGTGACCTTGTGTCCTATGTATAGCCCTGTTTATGAATAGATTTCCAGACAAAGGTTTGTACTGGCCCCGAATAGACACTGAACAAAATTATAAATGCAACACTTTTGTTTTTTTTTTATGAGCTGAACTCCAAGATCTAAGACTTTTTCTATGTACAAAAAAGGCCTATTTCTCTCAAATGTTGTTCACAAATCTGTATAAATCTGTGTAAGTGAGCACTCCTCCTTTGCCGAGATAATCCATCCACCTCACAGGTTTGGCATATCAAGATGCTGATTAGACAGCATTATTATTGCACAGGTGTGCCTTAGGCAGGCCAAAATAAAAGGCCACTCTGCAAACACTGAAACATGACTTTCAATGCCCATTTCAAGATCATTTATAAATATGTTAAATAGAAGCGGTCCCAAAACAGAACCCTGAAGGACACCACTTACCACTTTTGTCCAGCTTGAAAATTTACCATTAACCCCTTCAGGACGGAGTCATTAGTACACGTTCTGATCAAAACAAAATGTAAACAAAAACTGGAATTTGCGCTTTATGTCTGTTCAACCGTAATTCACCTCTTTTGTATTATATGCACCCACACTATTATTATATATCATTTTGTTCAGGAGAAACAGGGCTTTCATTTCATATCAAATATTTATATATGAAACATAGTTTATTATGAATAAAATAAAAAAAAACTGTGAGAAATTTTATTAAAAAAAAACATTGTAGTTCCGCCTCACATTTTAGCTGTAAATGTCATAATACTGTTACCTTTTACTGCAAAAAAAGCACATATTTGGATTCAGTACAACAGTAGCACCCACTAACAGTTTATATAGTGTTTTGGAAAGTTAAAGGGTCAAATATAGCACATTCAATTTTTCAGTTTTTTCACATTGAAATTTGCCAGATTAGTAATGTTACGTTTGAGACCGTGTGGTAGCCCAGGAATGAGATTTACCCCCATGATGGCATACCATTTGCAAAAGTAGACTACCCAAGGTATTGCAAGTGGGGTATGTCCAGTCTTTTGTAGTAGCCACTTAGTCACAAACACTGGCCAAAGTTAGCGTTCATATTTGTTTTTGTGTGAAAAAAAGCAAAAAATAAATAGTGTTTGTTTGTAACTAAGTGGCTACTGAAAATGACTGGACATACCTTGTTTGCACTACCTTGGGTTGTCTACTTTTGCAAATGGTATTTCATCATTGGGGTAATTCTTATTCCTGGGCTACCATCCGGGCTCAAAAGGCAACATAACCAATCTGGCAAATTTTAATGTGAAAAGAATGAAATGCATGCCTTATATTTGACTCTCTAACTTTCCAAAACACCATAAAATCTGTACATGGGGGTTACTGTTTTACTCAGGAGACTTCGCTGAACACAAATATTAGTGTTTCAAAATGGTAACTTGTATTACAACAATAATATCGTCAGTATAAGTGCCGTTCATGTGTGAAAAATGCAAAAAAAAGTCTCTTTTACTAAAAATATCATTGTTGTAATACAAGTTACTTTTTTGAAACACTAATATTTGTGTTCAGCGAAGTCTCCCGAGTAAAACCGTACCCCCCATGTACAGGTTTTATGGTGTCTTGGAAAGTTACAGGGTTAAATATAGTGCTTGCAATTCAAATTCTCTGCACTTTTTGCCTGGGTTGTCAGGCATGTCAATCAAATTTTAACTAATTAAATCACATAATTATGTTAAAATATTACTTAAATATACATGTAGAATTTTAATATATACATATATATGTATTTAAAGACTACGTGTACACTTATGTAGTTATTTAGTAATTATATATATTTATCTGTATATCTATGTATTTGCGGTTGTTTGCATTTTATATATAGATAGATATAAAATGTCATTCTAAGTGTATTTTGTTACATATATATATATATATATATATATATATATATATATTAATAACAAAATACAGTTAGAATGAAATTACATATGTATATATAATATATTTTATTTTATTATTTTATTTATTGTAATTATACGTGTATATATAAATATAAAATATATATAGATGTATTATATATATATATATATGTGTGTGTGTAACGTCATTCTGAGTGTATTTTAATACTAATATATACTTATATTAATATTAAAATACACTACGTATGACGTTACATATATATATATATATATATATATATATATATATATATATATATATATATATAAGATGTGTGTGTGTGTGTGTGTGTGTATGTATATGTGTATATATATATATATATATATATATATATATTATATGTATAATATATACACATTTCATTTATTTTAAAACTTATTTAATATATTTTTTTTTACACTTCCCACCAGCCGGGGGACTGTCTGACAGCTATAGGGGGCCATGTCTGACAGCTATAGGGGGCTATAGAGCGATCACATGGCCCCCGGGGGCCTCATTTGCCAGGGGAGGGCTGCCTGAGCTGTCAGGCAGCCCTCCAGAAGAGGATCACGAATGAGGTAAGTACCTTCGATCTCCTGGGGGCTTCAGCCGTTACGGCGTTCTATGCCGCCGCAATGGCTTTAAAGCCCATTTAATGCGGGACGGCATAGAACGCCGTAACGGAGTTAAGAGGTTAATGACCACTAGTTGTACTCTATCCTTAATCCAATGTTCTACCCAAGAACAAGAATATTAATCTAGACCAATTTATTTTAGTTTGAAGACTAACCTGTTATGTGGAACCGTATCAAATGCCTTGGCAAAATCCAAGTAGATCACATCCACTGCAACACCCTGATCTATACTTCTACTTACTTTTTTCGTAGAATGCAATTAGGTTAGTTTGACATGACCTATGTTTCGTAAAACCATGCTGATTATTGCTAATAACAAAGTTCTTCCCAATGAGTTCCTGAGTATTATTCCTTAATAGCCCTTAAAATATTTTCCCAGTCACAGAAGTTAAGCTCACAGGTCTATAATTTCCAGGCAATGATTTTGAACCCTTTTAAATATAGGAATGACATCTGCCTTCCTCCAGTCCTTCGATACAATACCTGAAACAAAAGAATCTTGAAAGATTAAATACAGAAGTTCACATATTTCCCCACTTAGCTCCTTAAGTACTCGTGGGTGAATACAGTCAGGCCCCGGAGCTTTATTTACATACATTTTCTTAAACTGCTGCATCACATAATCTCGAGTCATCCAATCACAAGTTACCTGCAAGTTTTTTGCAGCAATCATTTGCATATTTCTTGCAATAGGATCCTCGTTAATATAAACTGAAGAAAAAGTTATTTAACATTTTTGCATTTTCCTGGTCATTAACTAACAGACCGATCTCTGTTTCCAGTGTACCTACACTTTCATTTATTTATTTTTTATTTATTTTTTTAGAATTGATGAAATTTGAAAAAAAATGTGCGGTTGGTTTTGCATTCTTTGGCTATCAGTTTCTCATTTTTTAGTTTAGCCACTTTAATTGCCATTTTGCAAGCTTTATTGGCTTCCTTATATCTTCTATAGGATGCCCTTTTTCCTTTTTTTTATTTTTTTTATTTCTTGTTTTAATTCTCTACTAAGCCACATTGGTTTCAATTTGTTTCTTTTTTATTTGTCACCCAATGGTACATACTGAGAAATGTGCCTTTCTATTTTTTGTTTAAAGAGTTTCCATTTAGCCTCAGTGTTTTTTTTTTCACTAAGGAGTTTATGTCAGTCGATATGTTGTAGAGTTGCCCTAATCGTATCGAAATTGGCTTTTTTAAAAATTATAAGTTTTAGTGTACCCCATGTGCTTTTGCTTTTTTTAGTTTATTTTAAAAATTACCATATTGTGCTCATTATTTCCCAAATGCTCTCCTACTTGAATGTTGGTCAAAAGATCAACATTGTTTGTTATAATGAGATTCAGACAAGCTTCCTTTCTAATTGATGCTTGTACCAGTTGTGACATGAAGGTGTCATTTAACACATTCAAAACCCTGGTTCTCCTTGGTGAAGTACTAATCCCTCTATCCCAATTTATGTCCGGGTAATAAATATTTCCAATAATTAACGTGTTACCCAGATTTGCAGCTTTTCCAATTTGCTCTAACAGCTGTTCTTCCTCATTAATATTTACATTAGGTGGTTTATAACATATCCCAACCAATAATTGATTTCCCTTTGTTTGCCCCAAGCAGATATCTACCCATAAAGCTTCCACATTTTCCTCGTCACACTCCACATGCCTAAGGTTTGACTTTAACTCATGGTTGACATACATACATACTCCACCACCCTTCTTTTTTTCCTATCCTTCCTAAATAAGGGGTACCGATTTTGGTTAACTGCCCAGTCATGTGTCTCATCCCACCATGTTTCGGTTATGTCAATTATATCATATTGTGTAGTGTATGCTATTGCCTCCAGTTCCCTCATTTTGTTATATAGGCTTTAGTAAGCTTACATTTAATATCATGAGTCACTTGTACTTTTTGTGAATTTTTATCAATATTACATACCTCCTCTGTTCTGAGCTTGCCCCTCCCCCAATCTCCACCCCTCTTATACCGAGCTAAAGCCCATCTCCTTTCTATCATATCTCTTCTAGATTGCTATGACACTCCCCCCCCCCCACTACTAGTTTACAGTCTCCTCCAACCTTCTAGCCATACTTTCTCCCAGGAAGCAAACATTACATACAAACACACCCCTGTATCAAAACACTAAAATTATATGCAAACACAAACTGTACACACAAAAGCACACCTCCTCCGAAGTACTTCTATCTGTTTACTATCTGCACTATGGCGCAAATTTGTTTGGGGGTAAGGGGGTTTCCACGGTGTTGGTACACTATGTCAAACGGTTCCATGGGTAAAACTAATTGGGAACCCCTGCTCTACACTGTAGTATGTGCGGCATTGTAAGCTTCATATGTTATCCATTTTTACATTAATCAATACCCTTCTTACATTTTATGTGAAGGTCTAATCCAGGGGTAGCCAAAAAGTTGATTCTAAGCTCTTATAGAAATACAAAAGCCATCATGCTTTGCCCTTTCAAGGTTTGCAAAGCATTATGGTAGCAGCTGAGGACCACTCCTACTCTAATTAACAGATGACTGAACATTATGCTAATTGCATTCTAGCATCTAGGGGTCCAGGTTTAGACACTTCTGCTGTAAAGAATGGTTAAGTAGCTTTAGATTATTCAGCTATGATCCTCAGCCAGCATATATACAGCCAAAAACTAAGTTAGAATAATTGTGTTTTAAAGTTCAACAATATCTAGAAATAACTTCATTATCAGTGTTGTTCCACTGGTTAGGGGACAGATTACTTTATAAATTACATCCTGTGTGTGGAGAGAGGGTATCTAATTTACTATCTGATCTGTTGGCTCTGGGCAAATGTCATAAACTGATTAAGCACTTCTGAGAGGCCCCAAATCCATAAATATATTAAGTGCTGTGCTACTGAATCACTTTTGCATGCTGGGAGGGAGAATTATATAGATTGGCTAGCAGCTGAGGCTTTCTTCAATCTGAGTATATTTTGACAGATGTTTGAAGATAAACCGATCTCTTGTGCCAGGATAATTTGAAACTTCTGACAGTTCAGATGTTGATTTTTTTTGTGGGGGATTTTTTTTTTTGCCAGTACTGGACCAAAGGTTCCTGATTCCCCAGGACTTTTGTGGCCAAAAAATGTATTGTATAGTCTAATGGTAGATAACTGTTAACTGGCATACTACCATATCTACATTAGGCTCAAAGAGTTGCATTATATATAAAATTCTGCACAGACAAAGCATTCTGCTAGTGTGCGGCATAGGAGGGCCGTGTCCACAGTCTCTGGACAGACTCATGTTGTATTTTGATAACGTAGGTGGTAAGAGCGGTCCCATGGCCGCCATAGGTGTCCATAGTGCTGCCAGCAGCGGATCAGATTCATCCGCTTTGCTTTGGAAGGGTATGTTGTGGGCAAACAGAATTGCCATGCCTGCTCTTTTCGCGACGTGATGGTTCGCAAAATAGCCAGCAGGTTAGCGGCTGCTACGAAGCTCTGGGGCCTGTCCGTCTCTGAAATGTGTTTCCTGTAGGAACTCCACAGAGACCCTGTTGGACCATTTGGGTCCGGTGGAGTTGGGAGCATCTCTCTGAGATATTCGGTCCTCGGGCATTGTTGGTCCAGAGCCTCGGAGGCGCTGGTCGTAATCCGGTCGTCATGTTCTGGATATCTGGATTGGGAAAAAAAGGGGGGGCGGGAGGAGGGAGTTTGAAGCAGGAAGTAGGGAAGTACTAGGGGGAACAAGTCTTGGGGGTAGAAAGAAAACAAGAGGAACCTCTTCTGAGGTATGTAGAACTGGCAACGAAGACCCTATTTCGCGGGGACCCTAGTGGTCGGGATCACTACACCGATTCACAACCTTATATTCAGTGAGGGGTCTGTTGCATGGGAGGTCATGGGAAATCGTGAGATACAGGCTCGAGCAGGGAGCCGTCTGCTCTGGTGGGTCCCGACCCACGTGAGGGAATCTAGTGGGAAGCTGTGAAGAGTGTGTCAACTAACTGGGGAAAAAACATGTGGCCCATAACCAGCTTGGGTTCGTATATCTACTTTGGCCTGCGTGCTACCTCCAGAGGACAGAGTGTTTTTTACATACATCCCTCAGTCTGAATATATTCAAGCAATGTTTGATTTTATTGTAAAACAGTTGATCCTATTTTGTAGCATATTTTAAAAGAAAAAAAGAAAGGCAGACAGAACATACATAGTCTGAGAATAAAGGTTTGATATAATCAGAAAAGATCAAACGAATAGCTAGAGTAAAACAGAGTTTTGTAGGCTTCAGATATGTATTCGTGAGATGTGAAAAATAAAATTAAATATAGAAATCCAAATCTTTGTATCCTGCACCTGGGCGTCTCATCTAAGCTCCCTATCAGACATAATTATTTATAAGTACTCTCTTTTGCGTGAGGCAGTCAGCACAGAGAAAGCATTCAGAGAAAAGGAGGAATTATGCAATGTTTCTTTTTGTCATTAATTTTTTTTTTTTTTTTAAATGATTGCGTAACAGTTAAGGATTATTATGGTATCACAGCTATGGTGTAAATAACATGCATGTACAACAGGGTAACACCTTGTTTTATGAATGTTAGTAGAGCATCAAAACAAGCTTAACCCCTTAAACGGCCACTCTAGGCACCCAGACCACTTCAGCTTAATGAAGTGGTCTGGGTGCCAGGTCCTTCTAGGGTTAACCCATTTTTTTATAAACATAGCAGTTTCAGAGAAACTGCTATGTTTATGAATGGGTTAAGCCTTCCCCCTAATCCTCTAGTGACTGTCTCATTGACAGCCACTAGAGGCGCTTGCGTGCTTCTCACTGTGATTTTCACAGTGAGAGCACGCAAGCGTCCATAGGAAAGCATTGTAAATGCTTTCCTATGCGACGGGCTGAATGCGCGCGCAGCTCTTGCCGCGCGTGCGCATTCAGCCCAGGAGAAGGAACGGAGGAGGAGAGGAGGCAGAGAGCTCCCCGCCCAGCGCTGGAAAAAGGTAAGTTTTTAACCCTTTCCCCTTTCCAGAGCCGGGCGGGAGGGGGTCCCTGAGGGTGGGGGCACCCTCAGGGCACTATAGTGCCAGGAAAACGAGTATGTTTTCCTGGCACTATAGTGTTCCTTTAATGCTGTTACTGCTTACTATGCCGTCCTGCACAAGGTGGCTTTAACCCCTTAAGGACACATGACGTGTGACTTGTCATGATTCCCTTTTATTCCAGAAGTTTGGTCCTTTTTCTGGCACTATAGGCTCCTGGAGTGCCCCCTTCCCGTGGGGTCATGCAACTTACCTGACATCGGCGCTGGGTCAGGCGCCGCCCACGCTCCTCCCCCACCGATGTCAGCCGGCAGGGGAGACCCAATGCGCATGCGCGGCAGTAGCCGCATGCCATTAGACAGGATGGATGCCTGATCACCAGTCGAGAGGTGTAATAATCACGAAAATATTCTTCTAGATTCCATTATAAATTTCACATTTGGAATTTTTGGAATTCCGCGTCCAGCGCTAGGAGGAGGCCTTCCATGTTGTGTGTTTCCATGTGTGCAAGGATATTTAAAACCTTCATTGTGTTGTCTGATCCCTGTTTGTTTGTAACAAATCCCGACTGATCGTTGTGGACTATGAGGGTTAGAATAGTTTTTAACCTGTCCGCCAAAATCTTGACGTAGATCTTCTTGTCACAATTGAGGAGGGAAATGGGTCTAAAATTTTGGCACACTGTAGCCGGTTTACCTGGTTTAGGCAGGGTTGAAATGTGAGCTTGTAACATGTCCGTAGGCGTGGTTCCGTCTGTGAAGCAGTGATTTAAGGGGAAGTGTGAAATGAGGAGCTAGTATGTCAGAGAAAGTTTTATAGTAGAGGTTGGTTAAGCCATCTGGCCCCGGGGATTTATGAAGGAGCAATTTAGTTTCAGTTCGTCTTCTGTGAATGGTTGGGTTATGGTTTCTATTTCTCCATGCGTCAAAGTAGGGAGGTGTATTGCGTCTAAAAACTGTCTTATGAGGGTTTTGGTTGGTGCAGGTGTACGGGATTCATCTTTAAGGTTATATAGTGACGATAGTACTATGCAAACTCTTCCACTATGTCCTGTGGATGCATGAGTTTTCGTTTGTTAGAGGACAAAATCTATGAAAGATCCCGCTTTGTTCCCTTGAGCGAAGAATTTGTGTTTGTATCGTTGAAGGAGATAGGTAGTTTTATCTAATTCTAGTTCATTTAATTGAGCCCCACATCTATGGGAGTGGTATCAGTGGTGTTGGTGTGGAAGTATGACGCAAGGTCTGTTTTAATTTGTTCAGTAATGCTGGGGTTACGTAATAATGACTCGTTTAACCTCTATGAGCCCGTCCCTTTTTTAGGGAATTGAGCTGCTAGTGTGATAGAGATGGGGCATGATCAGACCATGTTATGATTCCTATGTGTGTAGAATGGATTTTGGGGAGTATGGAGGGATTTAGTATAAACCTGTCTATTCTCGAGTATGAGTTATAAACTTGTGAATGGAAAGTGAAGTCCTTCTCTGAGGGGTGTAATACCCTCCATATATCCACTAAGCCAACATCATGTAATTGTTTCTTGATAGCATTCGCTGATATTAAGCATTTCCTGGCAGTTGATTGAGAGATATCTAAGTTGGAGGATGTGTCAAGGGCATTGTCCAGGATGAAATTCGTGTGTGTGTGTGTGTCCCTGATGACTAGAGTACCGAATTTATGTGTGTTAGCTAGGGAGAGGATTTTATCCTGGAACTGCGACTGATTTTCGTGCAGGCCGTACACATTGATAAATGTGTATGGTTCGTTAATAATGAGGCATTGGACCAGGAGAAAGCGGCCTTCCTTGTCCCCCATTTTTTTGTGTAGTGAGAATGATACATCTTTGCTAAACAGTATCGATACCCCTGTTTTCTTTTTGGTATAGCCGGTGTGGTAACCTATAGGAAACAGTTTTGAGGTAAATAGATAGAATTTAGGAAATGTGTTTCTTGGAAGAAGGCTACTGTAGCCTTCATCTTTTTAGCTTCCGTGAGGGCCAGTCTCCGTTTATGTGGAGAATTCAGGCCCTTCACGTTAAGCGATATTATAGTCAGGGCCATGGGTACAGTATAGTAGTGCATTTTGTGTCATTGTGTATGGCATCTTTGGGCGCTAATATCCATCTTTCGTGATATATAAGGGTAAGTTGGGAGTGCAGGTCGCTGAAAGTGGAACGTGGTTCTGGTTCAGGGGGATTTTCGACCCTTTCTCTGCGTGATCGCAGTGTTTCGTGAGATACATGTGTTAGTAAGGGTCGGAACTGCGAGATAGCATCTTGGGAGTCTAGTTCCCAGAGTATATCATTGAGGTTAAGTGAACGTATATGTTCCCATGGTATGAGCCCGTGTCCTCTTTAGAGTTGGTTCGGGTAGGTCAGTTAAGGCTCTTCTATTTGCTGTGTATTGTTTCACCCTCGGAGGAGCTGACGGCTTACACGTCCATGTCCACGAGCTGCCAGGCCACGCCCCCAACATCTGGCCTTTTTGAAGCTTTGCAGTTAGGGAAGCTATCTCCATGTACTTAGTACGAAGGCCCATAGTTTGTTCTTCGACCGCTTTAACACGCCCTTCAACGATGTGACTCTCTTCCACTACCACAGTGATATCCCTCGAAAAGGTTTGCTTTATGTTGTGGTGAAGCTCTTTTATATCTCCGTTAGTTGAAGGGAGCTTGCCTTCATCCAACGATGAATTATCTAAGCCACCTGGATATCATCTAAATGATCCCACAATAGGTCATCCAAAGAGGTCAAAAGCATTTCCTCATGTGCCTGTCACAATACCGGTCCATCACGGCATCGTACAATCATGGGAGCAATGTATCTCCTGTGTTCTGATGCAAACCCACTCATCCCTAGCTTCCTAGTGTCTCATTGTGACATCATGTATGACATGGAACACTCCCATTGGTCTCCTATTATAATGTTAATCTTTGTGGCACTTTTTGCGGAGCAACAAATAACTTATATCTTGCAATCCCGTTTTTTTAAGGAACCTCAAATGCTTAGACTTCTTCCCAATGCTCATGATATTCTGCTTTTCTGCTTTAGTAGGGGTATTATTTTCAGTGTTAAGTAAAAACGGGCTTTCAGTTTCAGAGCTCAATATAGACACATTTAGTCAGCTCCATCCTCCATGAAAAAAATTTATATTCCTCCTAATTTGCACTGTGTGCCTTGGCTGGACTAAACTAGATCATGATCTTATTTGCTAAATATTTAATATAGAGTTAAAAGTATATAGAGCATCACATAAAACAAGTTAAAGGAATGCTATAGTCACCCAGGCTACTGCAGTGTTTACATTTCAGGGTCCTCCTCTTGTGGCTGTCAGAAAAACTGTCACATGATCTGGAAATGCCATAGGAAAGCAATGATTCAATATGCATTAGGTCCCCATTGTTCCTCTATGAGGTGCATTGGATTAGACCACACTCCGGTGCCCTGCCGGGAGAGAAGAGTTGAGCAGCTCTGAGAAGGCCTTGGCGCTGGAATAAAGTATGTAAAACATTATTTAAAGAAAACAAAAAAAAACTGCACGTGGAGTGGGTCTGCATACAAGTAGGGATTTGTATTACAAACACAATAGTGGTTATTTAACACAAGTAAGGTTATTTTCAGTGTTTTATTTATTGGTGTAATTTTATGTGTTTAAACAAGGTCGTAGCATGCTTACCTGGGCTGTAGGAGAGCTGATATTCAAAACTTGCGATTCCTGCTTTCCTATGCAGAGCACATGTTAAAATTGGTGTAAAACACAACTTTATTTAAGAACTAGTAAATATTCAAATCTTGCAAAGCAGAGGACTTCTACCATGGACCCAAATTTTTTATTTTACATTAATAATATTAATAATTAATAAAAACTTGTGGGGGGAAATGCTAATTTTATTCATGATTTAAGTATTTTAAAACTAGGGGGGAAGATTGAAATGGCAACGTCTATCAACCTCCTTTCACTTAAGTACCTGTATGAGGATTAAAGAGTCACTTCAGCCTCCATAATCACTTCTGCTTTTAGAAGTGGACATGGAGGAAGGAATCTGTATGGACAGCATTTCAGCTTGCAACCCTGCATAAACAGAGATATTTGCACACCACTTAGACAACCCATACCTGATGTAAATTCTGTGCAAAAAATATGTCTGCTGTCAGCGTGCACTGTACATTAGCAACAGATGTAATCTGCTTCTACCCTTGCAGACAACGCTGGGAGCTCACCTACAAGGCGAAGCTTTGAGTCTGCACTCCCTCCTTGCATTGCGAGTTTGGCATTTGATTGGGCCTCAGATTGATGCAGCATGGGGCATTGAAACCAAGGTTTTGTCATCGATAAAAAGCTTAAATCATAAGAGGGGAAGGGACAACAAGTAGCAACAGTACATTCAAATATATATATATATATATGCTAATTAAAAAAATTAAAAAACATGCTTACATTCAAACATGCCAATTCTGCCCTCAAATAAAACCCTGCAAGGATGGGCAAATGGTAGATCCCCAGCTGACAACTCATCGTGGGAGATGAATGACAGGTGGGAATCTACCTTTTGGCCACCATTGCGCTAGAGTGGTTACCAATATAATGTGCTACCCCAGGGCCATCTCTACATTCGTTGTCATTGTGCCCCTGTACACGTTAACTAGGCCACAGCAATAGTTTATGTACAAATAGAATAGGGGATAATCTGCTAAATACAGAATGAATAAAATAACATAGCGTTTAACTGTGTGAGAGTAAGTAACAATATGTTAGTTACAATTGGCCACTCACAAATTCCCAGATGTAAAGCAGCCTTAAGTCAAATTTCTCCTCCAATGTCCACTGTATTTTCTCATCTTCACACTCCCATCAATAGGTTAGAATATGTAACTCAAGAGAAAAATATACAGAAAAAAATAATAACTTACATATAAGCAGAAAACAATTCGTTTGTCACCACTAGGACGCCTAGTGGTGACAAACGAATTGTTTTCTGGAAGGAATAAGTAGTTTGCACAAGGGTATTTTGTGTCTGTAACCTAGCCCTCTCATATGTAGGTTAGTTTTGTATTAATCTTCCAACTTTTTTCTTTTTAAACCAAAAAACTATAAAGAATGGGGAGTAAAAAGGTGTGAGGGCAATAACAAAAGGGAATGAAAAAGGTTTCCATCCAGAAGTATACAAATTGGAATTATCATATTATGTTCATAAAGGTGAGACAATACACAGTGCATTAGAACACCTCCTCAACCTTTTCAAGGCATTGATTGGATAACCGAGACCAAACACTCTCAGCTTATCATTGCCAAGTTGGATGAGATCATGCAAAGGTTCAGTTACACATGAGCTGAGTTGGCAAAATTTGTAGGATCGTACATTTCATTATGCTGTATTATTTACCTATGAATTGCTGCACATTGCTCCAATTTGTGGTAGGAAAAAAAAAAAAAAGATTACAGTTGTGATGTAAAGAGTTTATGGACAGAACTGCATTTGCTCCCAACCTAATAGAAAAAAAATTGCTCTCTTTCAGACATGGGAGAATCCAGCTCATATTGATGAGAACACAGGATTTGGTGGCGATAATGATCCAATTGACGTTTGTGACATCGGAAGCAAGGTATTTTAAGTTTTAGGAGCTGTGATCATTTTGAAGAAAAAATTTTTTTTATGGGTTAATTGATTTCTCACTTACCATCATGACTATTCACTAATCTCTGATTGTAAAGTGATCTTGAATTGGTCTGACTTAATTTGCTTTTTAGCCAGCATAAAAGTGCATTGTCTAGTCATTTATTAATGGCTTTAAATGGATTTGGTGTAGCAAGTAAATTGTTCACGTAAGTGACACATTATGGCAGGGGTAGGTAACCTTTTAGCAGCACTGTGCCGATATAGGATTGTGATGTCCCGTAGCGTGCCGGTCCTATTTTTTTTTTTAAATTGAGGTGTGTATGCTGCCGTATTCTGCTTGTGTTATTTATACTGTAATTGCTTTGTATCGTTGTATTTGTGTGTGTATATGAACTTTTATATTGTATATGTTCATTAGTAGTTTATGGTATTGTGTATGATACATATAAATGTGGGCTGCTTGTGGAATTGTGTGTGGATGGATATGTCACATTGTGTGTTTGGTAGTGTGTGTGGGCTGTTTGGGGTATTGCATGTGAGAGGCTGCATGTGGGGTTGTGTGCATGTATGTGGATTGTTAGCGGCTTATGTTTGTGTGTGGGCTGTTCGTATTATTTGTATGAGGGGAGGGTTATTGTGCATTTCTGTGTATATCTAGCAGTGTGGGTGGCTTCCCTGGGTTCCAGTGGGGACCAGGCTGGCCAGGTACAGGTCAAGGACAAGAGCAGTAACAGCAGCTGCAGGTTGCTCTACTACAGTGTGGATTCCCATTCACGAGTGCTGGGAGGAAGTGATCTGAGATCACTTCCTCTATGTGCCTCAATGCATAAATTGAGGATTGTCCTTCACCACCTTTTCGTATTAGCATATATCTGAAGTTTCACTGGGACTTCTGATAGGTCAGAGCCTGTTTGGCTCTAGCAGCCTTGAGTGCCGTGCAAAGACACCTTGAGTGCCGTACATGGCACTAGTGCCGTAGGTTGCCTACCCCTGCATTATGGTAAAGCAATAAGAAATTTGTCCTAAGGTATGTGAACACCCAGTTACTGAGTTCAGGTGTTTCAGCCTCACCCATTGCATAAACTCCAGCAAATACCCACAAAATCTCCATGGTCAAACAATGGCATTACAAAGCCACAAATCGGTTTGTGAAATGTTTGTCCTTGTCTTGCCCAAGTCAGCTGCTGTTACAGTGAAGTGATATTGCCCAGGAGCAGTTACAGCACAGTCATGAAGTGTTAAACCACACATACCCACAGAGCAGGGGCATTGAGTGGTGACAAGCGTATTGTGTAATAATCACTTGCCTACTGTGTCACTCACTAGAGAGCAGAACTCTGCATAAGGAGTATCATTAAATTGGTTTCAATGGCTGAGCAGCTGTGCACAAGCTGAACATAAACATGCAAGTGGTTAAAAACCATACCACCACTGACATTTTGGAGCAGTAGAAATGTCTTCTCTGGCAGTCTAATGGAAAAATGTGTGAGGCAGGTGCCAGTAGACCGCTACCTTCTGAAATGCATACTTCTTACTGTTTTTGTTTTTGTTTTTGTTTTGGTTTTTTTTTTGTGGAGGAGAAATAATGTTCTGGGTCATCTGAAAGGAGCACTCCACACACATAAAACACTTCAGCTTTCTTGATTTTAAGAAATTGCCACTTTTATTTATTTTTATGTATGTGTATATGTATGTATGTGTGTGTGTGTGTATGTATATACTGTATATGTCTGCAATAGCTGCCATCTTTGTTCGGATTTGCATGTATGTAAGTTTGGCTAGCTCATATATATGAGCAAAAGGTACCTGCACACAGGCTTAAAAGTTGCAGATGCTGGGTGCCAGCCATGGTTGAAATTATCCAAGGAGAAAAGGGGAAAAAGCTGCACTCACGGTCTTCCACACACACACACACACATGTTGGACAATTGAGTGCTGCCAACTTTGTAGCAACAGTTTGGGGAAGGCCCTCTTCTGTTCTAGTATGGCTGTGCCGCTCTGCACAAAGCTAGGTCTATGGTTTGAAAAGATTGTTGGGGGAGAACTTGAAGAACCTGCGCAGAGCCCTCCTCTCCTATTGAACACTTTTGGGATGAATTGAAATGTTGAGATTTGCCAGTCAGAGCTCTCCAACTTGGTCTAATTCAAAGCATGTAAATAACCTTTTCCTGCTCTGAAGTTCATTCTGGACCTTAAGAAAGAAGTCTTAATGGGTGGGGGCTCGTGGGAGACACTCACACAAGTCGTATCTTCCACCCCACTTTAGTAAGTAGCCTTCAACCGATGCCCATGAGAGGAAAGAAAAAACGTTTATACTGATGAATGCATGAGAATCTGAATTTATTTATTTTTAATATGTGCTTTGTGAATATTTCAAGGATTTTACTTTGTATAGGGTCTGAATGTGAAAAGCACTGTCTGTAATCTGGACACCAAATGCGTCCTGCTGAATTAATTGGGTTGGCTAAATTCTGATTGGATTTGACTTTAGTAAAAATGTGAATTGCCATCCTGGTTGTAATATTCACCATTTTTAATAGCAAGTCAGTATTTTTGGTGAATTACCCTGATAATGTAGTGAAATATCCTGGTGGAGTAGTTTTTATGTGGAAGAATTCATGAAAAGTCAATACATTTCTCACTTTAAAAACAAGTGTTCTTAAGACTATTTAACCTCTCACTGATTTATTTCTATGGATAAGGAAACAATCCTTGTGACCAAAACACAGTATATTTTGATTATAGTGGCATTCTGGAACTATCCTCCAATCAGACTGAATATGATATTAATAGCTATTCTAGCACAGCTAAGAGCAGAATTGAAGCAATTTAAACCACACCATAAAGGATGTCTGACTAAGTTTATAGGTTATATTAATAAACTTTATAAGTATCACCACAAAATGTGTCCATTAAACGGGTGCTATAGGCACTATAACGATTTCATCTCATTTAACATTATAGTGCCTGGAGTCCTCTGGCACTGTCCCTCCATTTAGTATTTTTCAGTAGTGTAACACGAATTATATATTAGTGGCACTGTCAACATCTGGGGACTTTGTATAATTTGTAAGGAACCCCAACCGTGACATTGCCGCTGGGAGAAGGTGAGTTTAACTTACCTGTACTCGTAGGCGCCGCCATCTTCTTCCAACTAGTCCTCTTATGCTGTACTGATGTCACTGTGAACTCTTGCGCATGCACAACATAGAGCCAATTCCCTGCAACTGTCGCTGGTAACGGCTGGTGGATTGACACTTCTATAAACTGGGCAGAGCTACCGCTGTGTAGTAGTGTCAGGCGTAGGACGAATACTGCGACAAAGTAGTCTCTCTTTTGTCTCAGTATATCTTTTGATTGGGTTGAATTTTATCTTAATGAAATACTCATTTTGCAGGGGGTTTGGGGGGTGTGATGGGGTAATTACTGCTAGAACTGTTTCCAGAGACTCTCTCCTCAAATTTATGCTTTCCTGTGGTCACCTCCAAAGGGCACCTAGACTGGCACCTTATTTAGTGTAACAATCAATTAGGGTTTCTGGCCCTCCCCGAAGGTGTGGTTTATTTATTTGTTACTGGTATTTATAAAACGACAACAGATTCTGCAGAGTTGTGCAATTAGTGGAGGACGTACAATATACACAGACAAATACAAAAGGTAGAGAGGGCCCTGCCCGTAAGCTGAGATCTAGCCATTTTAAGCGCTTAGCTTGATAGCCCGTGAGCTTACAATGTAAAGGATACCGTGGGGATTTGAGACAAGCGGTAGCAGGGGAAATTTGGAAGTGATGATTAAAGTAAACAGAGAGTTGCCGCTATTAGTAAAATATAGAGGGAATGACGAGGTAATCGAGTTAGAATTTTAAACAGCTGGAGGAGCATTCTATAAATTTAAAAAAAAACATGAAAATAAAACACAAAACATGAAAAGCTCAATTTAACAATACATTTTCTCTTTTCTATTTAATGCTATTGCCATTAATGTTACCATAATTCTTCCTATTGCTTAGCACATGATCCTGAAATCAGTAATTGTGAAATTGCAGCCTTATTTTTTTAGCAATGTAAAAAACATTCATCCCGGAGATTTCTTTTCACCAACACTTTATATTTATATATATATATATTAAACGCTGAGGATTGCACCCAGGCAATATTGCATTATTTTTTGAAACATTAAGGGCGAGTGCCAAGAATCATTTTCATATATATATTTATTGATACTACGTATAATAAAGTGAAAATGCTTTCAACAGAAAACAAAATAGTGGTCCTCAAACACTGAAAACCTTTTCATAGTTTGCAGGATGATGTTTTCATGTTTATAGTATTGTGCCGATTACTGCTCTAACAATGAATGGGTTTGTGTAATTGCAACATTATTGGCTTTGTGATTGCATCTGTGGGTTTGTGATTGTCTCTGTGTGAATAAAGAGGTTGCTGAATGAGTAGTTTCTTTGGTACAACATGCTTAACTATTAATGTTTTTTTATGGTATTTAATGTACTTGTCCAACTGCAGTCTACAATTCAGGCATACTAAATGCGAGCTAGATGACTTCTCTTTTGTATGTCCCATGGCTTCTTTCTAAGTAGTGATTGACTTGTCCTAGGTTTGTGAAAGAGGAGAGGTAATTAAGGTTAAAGTCCTTGGCACCCTGGCTTTGATTGATGAAGGAGAAACGGACTGGAAAATCATTGCAATAAACGTTGAAGACTCAGAAGCTTCCCTCTACAATGGTAAAGTAAATTGAATGTTCATTGTTCGTCCATTTAGAAGTCCATACTAAAGCTGTCCAACCATTATCACGTTGCAGCAATATCAAACTGCCCAATTGTGTGGGAGGAGGGTAAAGGAGGCTAGGAATTGCATCACTGACTTTGCCCAAAGGGTATGGACCCACCTGGAAAGGGGGGCATGACAGGCCAAGTTACAGACTTGAGTGCATGCCAACAAAGCAAACTAACACCACAATGTGAATGTAGTGGCTAACAAGTATATAATATACTTATCTACGGGAAAAAAAGGGGACAGCCTCCCAAAGATCACGTCCCAGATGATGATCTTTGTGGAAACGGCACTGACCAAAGTATCCAATGATCTACTCGCTGCTGAATCTCGTGGTCACTACTCTATCCTAATTCTTCTTGACCTGTCTGCAGCTTGTGACACTGTTGATCATCAACAGCTTCTTCTCACCGCAATATCGGTCTACAAGATATTGCTCTCTCCTGGTGCTCCTCCTACCTCTCCCAGCGCTTTTTCAGTGTTTCTCTGGCTCTGCTTCTTCTCCCCAACTCCTCTCTGTTGGTGTCGCTCTCTGTTGGTGTCCCCTAAGGTTCAGTCCTTGGTCCCCTACTGTTCTCCATCTATACTGCCTCCCTTGGTAAACTCATTAGCTCCTCTGGCTTCCAATATCATTTCTATGCAGATGACACACAAATCTACCTGTCCTCTCCTGATCTCTCCCCGTCCTCTTGACTAGTGTCTCTGACTGCCTCTCTGCTATTTCTAACTGGATGGCTGCCCACTTCCTTAAACTAAACTTGACCAAAACTGAAATTCTGGTCTTTCCTCCTTCAAGTGTTGTTACTCCTGTGTCTGTCTCCCTCCAAGTCAACGGTGCTACCATCAGCTCCACCACGCATGTTCGCTGCCTAGGTGTTCTCTTTGACTCTGACCTCTCGTTCAAGCCTCATGTTCAATCTATCGCCAAATTCTGTCATTTCCATCTCAAAAACATTGACTAAGGTGTTGGTCCATTCCACTGTCCTTTCACGCCTTGACTACTGTAATCCGCTTCTCAGTGGTCTTACGTGCTCCCAACTTGCGCCGTTACAGTCCATAATGAATGCGGCAGCGAGGCTCATCTTCCCATGCCTCACCCTTCTGTCAGTCCCTACATTGGCTTCCTATAAAATATAGAGCTCAATTTAAAATTCTGGTTCTTGCTTTCAAATCGCTACATAATGCTGCTCCCACCTATCTATCCTCCCATATACACAAGTATGTCCCGTCTAGGCCCTTACGATCTGCTGAAGACTTAAGTCTATCTTCTGTCCGTACTCCCACCTCCGATGCTCGCCTTCAAGATTTCTCGAGGGCTGCACCGTTCCTGTGGAACTCTCTTCCCTCCTCCGTTAGATGCTCACCCAGTCTCCACTCCTTCAAAACATCGTTAAAAACCCACTTCTTCATAAAAGCGTATCAATTAAACTGTTAATAGCTCCTGATTGATTCCTCTTCTGCAACTGTCACTAGTCTAATACTATCTTTACCTTTTTATGTCATTTTACCCCACTCCCTCTAGCATGTAGAGGGAGTGGGGTAAATGCATGTAAGCTCATTGAGCAGGGCCCTCAACCCCTCTGTTCCGGTGTGTCCAACTCGTCTACATGTCTGTTCGTCCACCCATTGTAAAGCGCTGCGGAATTTGATGACGCTATATAAATAACATAATGATAATAATAATTAACAAGTAACATGTACAAACAAGAAAAACATATGGGATACGGCTGTTCTATCTAAAAAAAAAAAACAAAAAAAAAAACCTGAAAATAAATCTAGTGCAATACAATTTTAAATTAGAAGTGTGCGCTGTAAATGAATACACTCACAAGATGAAGATATGTCATGCGCTCAAGGGTGCCTCCCCCGATGTTGCTGGGGTATGTAAATCCCTCTTTCCAATCTGTATATGCCGCTAAGAACCAGGACTCCCAATCGATAAAAGTAAAAATGTTTGTGGGTTTTTTTTCGATTTAACAGCTGTATCCCCTATGTTTTTCTTGTTTAAATAAGTGCATGCGAGACTGCCCGCCAGTCATCATGTAACCAATCATTTAAGGTTTCAGTGATCTCTGCAAGGTCCTAATGCAACACAAGCAGGTAATTGAGCACTAACTATATGCCTATTGGAGACAGTTCCCTGGTGCACCCAAAAGCTAGATACCAGGTAACTAAGTCAGGACTGCATTCTTATCATTTTATCCAAGTATAGTATATCGTTCACTTTGTGATTTTGGTTATCTAAGGTTGCTTGCCATTGTATCTTTTTTAGTAGTTTTTTTTTTCTGTTGCTTGTTATTATTATTCAATCTTTATTGTTCCAGTTGTTGTGGTTTTTGAAAATGTCCCTTATTGTTAACCTACTGTCTCTGAAAACCATGGCAAGATATACAATTCCAAGCACATTCTTCTAAATCAAATGTTGTGTCTGAAGCTAATTGGATTGTTATCACCATAGAACTCTTGTTCTTTTTTTTTTTTTTTCAGATATCGAAGATGTCAGAAGACTGAAACCCAATTATCTAGAATCCACCGTTGATTGGTTTCAGAGGTACAAAGTTCCGGATGGAAAGCCAGAGAATCAGTTTGCCTTTAATGGAGAGTTTAAAAATAAGGTAATTGCTGTTTATACAGATAAACCGATAACCTAGAGTAGCAAAAGAAACCAGAAAAAAACAGCCCACAAATAAAGGGATCTAAATCATAACTTGTAATCAATCCATTAAAATGTCCAAGATGACAGTGAGATCATAAAATTGTCAACTGAACCTGAAAAAATAGATATTGTCCGATAGCTCTCAATAGAGATCATATAAACACTGAAAGCTTAGATGTTTAACTAATAGAATGGATACACATGGACTATTAAAGCAGTGAGTGTCTCTGAAATTGAGGTATAGCTAAGATTTACAAACAGAGACCCTCGGGAAATCAAAATTCCCTAAAAATAATCAAAATATTCTCTGAAAATAAGTGGGAATAATTAAGAGGTATGTCAAGAAAGGAAAACAGCCACTGCTTAGAATAAACATCAACGATTTGGGGAGTTATTGAACACATAAACACACACAAGAACCAAAGCAGCAATCCGTGGATACATGCACCAGCTGTCTGATTAAAATAGCAACCATAATGCCAGCAAGCTGAGCGATGGAAATAATGGACTGGGGGGAGGGGGGAAGGAGCATATTAGCCAAGTGATTTCCAGTGCAGAATGCAGTATTGATACTCTGGAAATGAAATATATACACCGTTATCACATAATGTTATTAAATACAGAGGGATATAATAGAATAGGTGTAACACTACATGAAGGTATAAATAACACTCGAACACTGTGCCTTCATGGGCACCTAACTGCACTAAAAAACTAAACTTGCCAATACGGTAACAATGTCCTAAGAGATGAGCAGACCAAAGGATAAACTGAAAACTAAAGGATAGGGTGCTCAAAAATGTATGTTGAAATCGGGTAAGTCAGATAAACTGACAAGCACCACTGTGACTGACCAGCATTCAGAGTCCTGATAAGCACACCACTGTGACTGACCAGCATTCAGAGTCCTGATAAGCACACCACTGTGACTGACCAGCATTCAGAGTCCTGATAAGCATACCACTGTGACTGACCAGCATTCAGAGTCCTGATAAGCACACCACTACCAGCATCCCAAATCCTTATAAGCATACCACTGACTGACCAGCATTCTGAGTCCTGATAAGCATACCACTGTGACTGACCAGCATTCAGAGTCCTGATAAGCATACCACTGTGACTGACCAGCATCCTGACTCCTGATAAGCACACCACTGTGACTGACCAGCATCCAGAGTCCTGATAAGCACACCACTGTGGCTGACCAGCATCCCAAATCCTTATAAGCATACCGCTGTGACTGACTAACAAGCATTCTGAGTCCTGATAAGCATACCACTGTGACTGACTAACAAGCATTCTGAGTCTTGATAAGCACACCACTGTGACTGACCAGCATTCAGAGTCCTGATAAGCACACCACTGTGACTGACCAGCATCCCAAATCCTTATAAGCATACCACTGTTACTGACAAGCATCCTGAGTCCTGATAAGCATACCACTGTGACTGACTAACAAGCATTCTGAGTCCTGATAAGCATACCACTGTGACTGACTAACCAGCATTCTGAGTCTTGATAAGCACACCACTGTGACTGACCAGCATTCAGAGTCCTGATAAGCATACCACTGTGACTGACCAGCATCCTGACTCCTGATAAGCACACCACTGTGACTGACCAGCATCCAGAGTCCTGATAAGCACACCACTGTGACTGACCAGCATCCCAAATCCTTATAAGCATACCGCTGTGACTGACTAACAAGCATTCTGAGTCCTGATAAGCATACCACTGTGACTGACTAACAAGCATTCTGAGTCTTGATAAGCACACCACTGTGACTGACCAGCATTCAGAGTCCTGATAAGCACACCACTGTGACTGACCAGCATCCCAAATCCTTATAAGCATACCACTGTTACTGACAAGCATCCTGAGTCCTGATAAGCATACCACTGTGACTGACTAACAAGCATTCTGAGTCCTGATAAGCATACCACTGTGACTGACTAACCAGCATTCTGAGTCTTGATAAGCACACCACTGTGACTGGCCAGCATTCAGAGTCCTGATAAGCATACCACTGTGACTGACCAGCATCCTGACTCCTGATAAGTACACCACTGTGACTGACCAGCATCCAGAGTCCTGATAAGCACACCACTGTGGCTGACCAGCATCCCAAATCCTTATAAGCATACCGCTGTGACTGACTAACAAGCATTCTGAGTCCTGATAAGCATACCACTGTGACTGGCTAACAAGCATTCTGAGTCTTGATAAGCACACCACTGTGACTGACCAGCATTCAGAGTCCTGATAAGCACACCACTGTGACTGACCAGCATCCCAAATCCTTATAAGCATACCACTGTTACTGACAAGCATCCTGAGTCCTGATAAGCATACCACTGTGACTGACTAACAAGCATTCTGAGTCCTGATAAGCATACCACTGTGACTGACAAACATCCCACGTTCAGATAAGCATACCACTCTGATTGTGATTGACCATAAGGCAAGCTGTGATGTATTGTTTTTCCTGTTCTTTATATTTTTTTTTCTCCCTTCCTTTTTTGGGCTATTCAATAAAACTTTATCTGTTTATTCATGAGCCCCTTAAAAATATGTATACCATTTCATTTCCAGAACTGATATTTTGTACATGGATTTATTCAGTAGACTTGAAATTTTTAAAAACTATTACTACTTAAAAAAAAAAATATTCTTCTAATTGAGATGAAAATTTATATTACTAATACGGAATTGGAAATTTTATACTAACATCACAATACACAGACACTTTAATACAGTATGTAGTGGTTATGGTGACTTGAGTGCTCCTTGGGGGCAGCAGGAAGCATTGCTAATAAGCTAACCTTCATTTAAAAAGTATTAACTCACAGTTGATCATTCACCTTTAACATCTTCAACCACCAAGCACTCTTAAATATAGCATTAATCTAAACTTTGAAATTGAATGTCTTGAAAATAAAGGTTGGATAAATAGGGGGTGAGTATAGACACTACTGCAATTTTGCTTTGTAGTTATCTGTAAAGACTCCAATGGTAGCTTTTTAAAAATAGCAACAGCGTTTAATAATCTCTGTATTTGAGAATAATAATAATAATGTTCAGTTAAGTCATGCACTTATTAAATTAAATGTTTTACAAAGTGCTCTACAACCTGCATTAATCTCGGGATTGCTTAGTAACAGTAATGCCCTCTTTGACTGTTAGACTGCGGCAGTAAATGTTAGATCGCAGCAGAATTGTGCGCTTCGAAACTACATATACTGTGTGAATCTTTGCAAATGGTACACGTGATATTAGTAGAGGGGTTACACCTCTAACCTTTGTTTTGTAATGCATTATGTTCTCCAATGCCATTCAATTTGTCACTGCCTTTGTGGGATCAGAAGGTTATAAAACTGTGTTGCGCTTATTTGTGTCATTTTGTCTCTTTTTGAATAGGACTTTGCAATAGAAATAATCAAAAGTACGAACACTCAATGGAAAGCACTTGTGACAAAGAAGGCAGACAGAGGAGAAATTGATTGGTGGGTTTTTAGTTTTTTGTTTTTTTTCCTTTAATATGAACTAGTTTCAGTGATCTTGCTTTTTGGTTTCTTAATAGACTAGAAAGCCTAAAAACCGCTTTATTCCATCTCTTATTGAGCTTCCAAGATTTCTAATAACTTTAAAATTACAATCCGCAGATCCCACTGATGCCTTTTTCATAAACACCATAGACTCAGAATTTAATTTCATGTACGTTTTATCAATCCTCTTCATTTACAAGTTACATTTGAGCTGCTTTAAAGAGTACGTTGAGCACAGTCCAGGTAGATTTTAGCTCCATATTTATCTTGTATCTTCTGTTTTGTTAGGGGAAAAAAAAAGTTTTGCAACTTTCTGCAGTTTGACTTCACTCCTCCAGTCATGCCAACTCTTCACAAAGCTACTTCCTCATTGGATGTACTCGGCTAGGCCAATGAGATGTTGCTGTGAGCTACGTTGTTGACAGTACTCGGACCCACAGCCAATCACTGTCCTTCTCTTATCGGTACCTCCTCCAAGCGACACTGCTGTGATATACTTGACAAATAAGAAGAGGAATGCTATTTATTATCGGTCAAGTCATAATCTCAGTTTACGCTAATTTCTTATTGGATGGGGCCTGAACTATACTGTCTACTTTCTAATCCGGAAGATGGTGAACTTTTTTTCATTGACCATTCTTAAAAGATTTTGAATGTGGAGGAACATTCAAGAAGCATGATTATGATGCCAAAACCAAATTAATTTAGGCTGAGTTAACGGTTCCTTTTTAAGGAATAGAAATGATGTGTGATGTCATGCATAATGGGGTACTGTTTTGCATGATTTCGCGAAATGACTAATAATATAATACAATATAGATCTCATCTTTACATTTAACGCTGTCGGAAGGTTCTGTGATTGAATAATAATAAAAGCTTCCTGGAAGGTTTGGGGTTCTCTTTGTTTTAAAAATATTTATTAGTCGGCAAGAGCTGCGCGCGCATTCAGCCGGTCGCATAGGAAAGCATTTACAATTTATAAAAAAAATGGGTTAACCCTAGCTGGACCAGGCACCCAGACCACTTCATTAAGCTGAAGTGGTCTGAGTGCCTAGAGTGGTCCTTTAATGGCTTTAGAAGCGTGTTGCAGATGTTAATGAACAATCCAAGCACTATAATCACTAGAACTAATCCAAGCAGTCATTGTGCAGTGATACTGTGAATGAAATCCAGTTGACTGCCAAACACATGCAGTTTGTTCGTTCGTTTGTTTGTTTGTTTTTAAGCAAAAGTTCCCCACAAGTTGTGTAAGTGGGTAGTGGTATGAAGTTTAAGAGGATCACTATAGTGTCAGGAAAACAAACTTGTTTTCCTGACACTATATAACCCTTAGGTCCTCTCCACCCTCAGGGTCCCCCTCCCTTACCTTAATCCAGCACCGGGCTCCCTCGGCGCTGGTGACCTCTCCTCCCCCGCCAATGCCAGCTCCCGAGTGGAGCTGAATGCGCATGCGCAGCAAGAGCCCGCGTGCGCATTCAAACAGTCCATAGGAAAGCATTTCTCAATCGATTTTTCGCATTCAGCATCGCAGAAGCGCCTCTAGCGGCTGTCAGGAAGACAGCCACTAGAGGCTGGATTAACCCTGCAATGTAAATATAGCAGTTTCTCTGAAACTATGTTTACATCTGAAGGGTTTAAACCTGGGGGACCTGGCACCTAGACCACTTCATTGAGCTGAAGTGGTCTGGGTGAATATAGAGTCCCTTTAAGGATTTTAGTTTATTAAAAAATAATAATAATAATTTTTAAAAGAGAATGTGCAGTGTGCTCACGTAAGTGCATATAGTGACTGACATGCAATATAGACTATTAATTTCCATAAAATGTAACAGTAAAATAGAAAAAAAATCTGTTAAAAATGTTAGTTTTTGGACCTCCATTGGTGTAACTCCTAAATGAAGACCAGTGTGGGCAACATATGGGATCTAGTGGTTTTGTGAACCTGTGTGGGGTGTTGAAGCACTACTTCAATCATAGCAAGTCATTGGTTCTGTTGCTATTGGAAATTCTTGGTTCCAAAAATAAAATACTAAACAGTCATGTTTTTTTTTAGATGGATGTAAAACATGTAGTCTCTGTAGGAGTATATTTCTAAGATTCCAAAAGAGCAGTTTTTGAAATGTTCCATGTTTTGCGTTGTCTGCCAACAGAATACCGTCAGACTGGTTGGTTCTGCCGGGATAACACTATTCTCTTGATAAACATGTTGCAGTTAGAAAACAGCTGTTTATTCTGTTGCAGTAGATGTTTTATCAAATTTTACATTTTTTTTGTCTTGTGTTTGAGGAGTGTCTTGCTCCCTAGCTTCTCGAGATGTTAATTAGCTATACTAAAATGGAAATGTAATTGCCAAGTCTTTTTTTTGTTTTGTTTAATTATCTTATCTATCCTTTCTGCTTCCACCAGTATGAATACAACAATTCAAGAAAGCTGTTTTGTCTGCAAGCAAGATGTAGCTAAAGCCGTTGTGGAAGCTGTGAGTTGCGCAATTTTTTTTTTTTTTACATTTTTTATTTTATGAGTGGTTTTACCAAGAAGAATATTCTGTATCTTGCGTTTCACAATGCCCTGACAAACTAAAAGGCCAATTAAATACTGTTAAAAGGTTGAAACACAGACAAAACAAATTGTATCAACAAAGCATTCACGTCAGCCATTTACTTTTAAGCATAACCTCAAATGTTGCATTTTTTTTTCTTTGTTCTTGATTTGTTTTTCTATACATCCATTTGATGACATTGGACATGTACAGTATCTTTCAGTCCTTTTGTGATAGCCGATTCATCCCATATGTGATTGTTCATGGTGAGCCACATCTGTTCCTGATCCTTGCAAACCCTGCAGCAATGGCCTGTTTCTCCAAGTGATGAATCACTGTAATGACCCATCTGATGCTCTCCTAAGTGTGGAATGGCTGTGTACGGCAACCTGTTCTCTGTGTGAAGATTTCCCGTGTGGACCATGCTACTGCTTTGACAGTTAAACAGTAGCCAAAGATTAGCAATTTCCCAAATGCTGTAGTGTATGTTGGTCTGTGCATCCTGGGCTCCTGTATAACTCAAATGATCAGTTTCCCTGTCATGCGATTGCTGTGACAGACAATCCCAGGAATCAAATAAAGGGTTGTAATTGTATTCAATACAATACCCCCTTTCATCTGTGTGTATCTCTTGATCCTCCAAGTGTGTCTTTACTAATACCCTTGTAATCTCTTGAATGTCTCTTAACCCCCTTTTTTGTCTTTTTTTTTTTTTTTCTCAAAACATTTTGTTTTAAACAAGCGGATGGGTGTCAGGGTTGCAATACCAGTTACCTGGCATTAAGGCTCAGAAAAACAATATTAAAGCAAAACAAAATGTAATAATATACAAGTAAAATAATACATTTTAGAAAAATCATGGTCAGTTCCAGGGTTAAAACAAGTGAAATAGGCAGGAGTGGAAGTTTTCCACAAAAGACTCACAAAGAAAACCGTTGGTAAACGGGCAAGTTCCATAAATAAGGGACTTTTTTGGGGAGCCTTGAGACTGAAGATTGGGCTCCCAATATTTTATAAATTGGGGAACCCTACACCTTTGATTGGGAGGTCTCAATCCAGTCCAATTTAAACATGTAAGCTAGTTTGGATTGACATTATGATATGGTCATTTTATTTAGCGAATTCTATATGAAGGATGGATTTTCTTGCAGTAGCTAGAACCATCTACATAAATCTAGAGGTTTTTAGGGTAATTCCAGAAAAGATACCACTCCGGGGACAGTGGTACTAGCTACCTTAATAAAATCACAAAGCATGATCAGAAAGGGCCTCTAGACCAATAATATGTAAAATATATGACACACGCCACTTAGTGGCAAAAACATGAATGTGATACTTAACAATGTGGATGGCTTCCCCTGGACCTAACATATAGCCTATATAAAATGTCCTAGGACAAATATATAGAATGGTTTAATACCACCAGACACCACTCTATATATGCACTCAAAACATCTGCACTAGTTTGACTTGTGTTGCTAACAGGTTAAATTACAAGTTAACATTTGCAACCAGTGACTTATTTAGTCCTCCAAATTCTCCCTTTAGAGTTCCGCATTCCCTGTAGTTGTAATACAGTGTTTGATTTTATGTTATCTTTTTTTTTTTTTGTTCATTTGATTAACTTTGTTTTATTTATTTTTTCCTCTTACTGTATTTATCATCTGTAGCTGAGTTCTATTTTGTTTTTCGTCTGCTTTGGTCATTGCTGCCTCCCACTGCAGAGTATGTTAAAGCAAAAAGGAAGGGATAAACCATAAACCATTGCCCCTCAAAGTCTGAACTTTGCCATGGGAGAAGCGTTAAAGAATTTCAGACAGCTGCCAGCTTATTCTCAGAAAGATTGAGAATTATTTTTATTCATTTTGTGTGAGAGGAAAACTTTATTTTAGACAGATCTTCATTTTCCCATAACTATGCAGTTTATTTGTTTAAATGTGGGCCAGTACAGAATGACGAAGCCCAGTCACCCAGTTCAGGCGAGAAAAAAATATATAAAATATATATATATAAATATAAAATGTAAAATATTATTTTTGTTTGTTTTTTTACCTTTTATGTCCAACTATTATAGAAAATATATTTCTCGCAGATCACTATCATTACTGACAAGAAAGCAGAAAAGTGGCATATAATGGGAGAAAATATTTTATTACTTATTCTTTCATATAGACAATTCTACGCATAAGGGAGCTGAACAAAAACTCTTTTATAGTAATTGTCCTTGATCCATTTTGCTGTTCCTACACTCTATGAAATGGAATTAAAAATGTCATTAGCTAGGGTTTTGTAGAAATGTGTACTGGTTTTATTTGCATATGAGGAAAATTCAGCAAAGTATTGAAACTGAATCATGATGTATCACGGCTTTAATTATATTCTTTCAATAATAAATTAGACAGCAAACCCATGTAAGCAGTGATAGTTCTTTACTTGAACATTAATCCATTGTTTGAGAAGCTTCTAGCCCCCTGTAGATTCCCATACTTTAGATTAGAAGCAAAGGGCTGTAGTATTTATGTACCAGCATGTAATCATTAATTTTGTGATTATTGCAAATACCTTGTTTTGATGTTTATATAGCTTGTGCATATCTTTTTAATTTTTTTTATTTTTTTGTGTGTGTGTGTGTAGTTCAATGACAGAAAAAGGCAGATAGGTATAAGCATGTTCTCATGAGACAAATTTAAGATAGATTCAATGTGGAATAAGGTGCATATGTCGAAAGAATTGCACAATTTTAAATGGTAAATTAATCATAAGAAACAATACTTAAATGAGGCCCGTTCTAATAATACATATAATATATATATATAAAAAAAAAACACAGAAAAGCTATGCTGTATTTGGCCCTGATACAGATCCACCAGGTAAACATTAAGGAAACTTCATCGGTTATAACAGATACCAGACTAGTAAACTCATAGTAAAATATGACAAACAAAGGACTAAACAACTGCTGTCTGGTCTAATTATTTAGACAGTTGGTAGGAGATAGCAATATATCAGCCTATGCTCAGGCAACAAAATGTATATTGATGGCAACATAAAAATCAAGAGACCCTGCTGTGATCAGCCAAACAGGCACATTTGCTCAACCAGACCCTGCATTCCCAGCCCCAAGTACTGGAACCAGCACACACTGTCCAATTACTCCACCAACCTATGAGTCCTGCTCGGTCAGTAGCTAGGCCCCATCCGCACCTTGTGTATCTTTTAAGACCCTCGGTAACGGCACTTGTTTGAATAGATTGGAAAATTACTTTTATACATTTACGTGATGATAAATTAAGAATTGCAAGTTTTAGCCGGGGAAAAATTGCCTATTTTGGAGTGGGTTTGCAATGCAGTTAATCTAGCCTAAAATGTGCATTTCCCTGGCCACTTTTCCACAATGCTTGGATTCGGTAATAACCATGATATAGTAACCAAAGGTAAATACAATATAAGCATGCTTACACCGAATCTCAAGGCACCATTACCACTTATTTTTACAGTAGAAAAAGTTGTGAGGCTTCACCTTCTATTAGCTTTTTGCAGGCATCTCTGTATTCTTACTGAATTGTGGAGTCAATATCAATATTGCTCATATGACATTCATCATTTGAAATGCACACTAGACATACAAACAGTGAAGATTTAACAGTTCTAATGACTGTTATATGATAAACTGTCCATTGGCGACGCAGTTTAGAAATATGCAAGACCCCTTTCACTGAACATACAATGCAGAATGAGAACACTTGAATAACACTCCCATTGATCATGTTGGAATTGTACTGGCATTCCAACATTGTCAAAAGATATACAAAGACAAACCAGGAACTACTTTGTCTAGGTATATTACCTACGCTTGACAAGACAGAGCTTTTGCCATCTAGGATCCTCCATATCCTCACATTTGTGCTAGAGTACAACATACTTATGCACTCCTGGCAGAAGCTTAAGAGGACTAGCAGGAAGACCATGGTGGCAGCCACAAGGGACAGGTTCAGATAAGCAAAGCTCACTTTCCCCTGGACACCAGACAGAGCAGTCACTGTTGGGGTGTCTGCAAAATTTGCAAAACACCAGACAGTGACAGAGCCACTTTAAGCTATAGAAACGTCAGTCTGAAATATGTATAGGAGAGGAAATATAAATTTATTCATAGGCGAAATATAAAACCAAATACAAAGATATTAAGAGGGGAGTTTCTCACTATGATATTGTAGAATAATCAGACATAGAAGTCGATCTTTCCCCTTCTTTTGCAATAACTGTCCTCAAACTGAAAAGTGTTTGCACTTTGTCGAGATAGAAACTGGGATTGTTTAGTAATCTATTAGCTTTTGTAAACAGTCACATTGCAAAATTTAAACCAAGATTGGCAGAGATGATGGAAACAAAAAATCTGATGGAATGTTTCCATTTATTTTGATCTAGATTTAGTGGCATGAGGACTAGAGGACAAATTACTTTTTAGAGAATAAATCCCATACCCAACATTCAATCTGTGTTCTCTAAAATATAGGTGCTTTGCTATACTTCTGCTATTGACGCTTTAACCAATCTACCCTCATAATTATATCCATTAATCTTTCAAAAGGAACACTGCAACCTTAAAATATTTGTCAATATGGATGGCCTGTCAACATTTCTCCATTGTTTTCTTGACCAATTCCAGCTATGGATCCCTTAACTGTGCATGTGTTTAACCTCCCTGTGTGTAAACATCTTTCATCAAAGTAGCCTATGGGCTAACATTTAGAATGAGGGGGGAGAGTCAGCGCGTAGATAATAAACTATAGGGCAGCAACCCAAAAAAGGGAATCCCTCAAGACCATTATAAAACAAGATAAAAAATGTAAGAGGTGAGGGCTGCGCCTAGGGCTAATAACAATAGTCTATAACAATAAGGACCAGACCAAATGGTCTAAATGAAGATACCATAAACAAGTAGGCCTATATGGATAATAGAACAGTGGAGAATAAAAAGTCCCAATAAGACAACAGAATAAAATAGAAGGATAATCCTCCGGAGTTGATTCGTCCAAATAATAAAATATTCATATAAAAGTCATATAAAAAGTCTTACATCAGGTAAGGTAGGGGTGCAATCCTCAGGAGTTGATCCGTCCGGATGGTTAAAATATCCGTATATTCTGGGAGAGGGTAATTTCGAGATAAAATCTACTTCTTACAGCAACTTTCTTTATAGCAGAATGTCTGTTAAAACCACAGACCAATAAGCCTGCTGTACTGTTTGGCTATTCACTAAAATGAAATTGGAGAATATCCAAGCTGGTGTAAATATGCCAATTTTTATTTTCTTTTTTTCCCTTTTTTCCATTTGATTAAGATTCATACAGATTAATATACGGTTTCTGCCAGAAATTAACGTCCTTAAATTGTTTATTATTCCCATTCATTTAAATATTCGTCTCATCATATAAAATATTATTTTAAAGTAAAAACAAAATTTACCTTACATCACTCCGTTTTGTTTGTGACTGCAATCACACTTTCGTTATGCATATACTTCAACAAATGATGATTTTTTTTTTTCCAGGCCCCTGCTAGCGGACCTGACAGCCCAATCCCTGCAGACGGTAAGATTTAAGAGACTCATGGTATCCTCTTAAACATGTCCTTTTTAGTGCAGCAGAATTAGAGTAAAATGTATAAACCATGGCTACTTAAACTCTGTAGTATCAGTGGTCGAGAAAAGTAGTCGTCCCACGTACATTTTATGTGCTTATGGTTTGTATCTAAAGTCTTTCCATTACCTGATCACTGCTACTGACCAGTATAACAATTAAACACTATCTTTAAGTGACGGGCAGCCTGGTGGCAGAAGGTAGCAGAGAGATACATGCAAATGCAGATTGACAGCGCAGGAGAAGCAGAGCTTGCTGGACAAGCTGGAAGCTTAAACAGTTTGACTCCTTACAATGGGATTGAGGGCTGGGGGGTGTTGCCAAGGCACTCCTGACTTCACAACCACTACAGTGTGCTTTAGTAGTTTTGGTTCTTGGAGTGTTCCGTTTAAAGTGAGGTTAAAGAAAGATACGATTGGCTGTGCAGTTTTTAACTGAAATTTATATGGAATAACAAACTCCCAAGCTGTTAAAGATGGAAACCTGATGACTATTGCATGAATGATGACCTGTATGCTGCACATCTTCAATAGTAGGTTTAATTGCACTAGTGAAACGACTAAGGCAAATGACTTCTCAAGCTGCTTAAATTACTAGCGAAAGAAAGTCCTGCAGTGTACAGCTATGCACAGGCCAGTGTTTTCAGGCAATACCCTAATGTAAAAAAATCCCAAACTAGAAATGTGTCCCAGGCTTTCACTGCCCCCCAGTGCTGATGGTGTGTATAACACAGTACAAATCTGACACCCAAAATCTGTTTACTCCAGCATGTGTTTTTCCAAATGTAGATACTACCCATTATTCCTTTTTTCATTTCTGAAACTTAAAGTTCTATTAAATCTTCTGGAAGAACCTGGTGTTTCTTGAAAGCTCATTATTTTTATGTTGCTGTTTGTGTTATTTGAAAACGTTTCTATTTATTCTTTCTCTTGTTCCTCTCCACTCTAACTTTCTTCTGTCTCATCACATTTTACAGTGGACAAGTGGTTCTATTATCAGAAGAACTAATTATAAAGTGAAAGAGACCGTCAGCAATTGTTGCATGTCATCTGCCAGACATTCGAATCTGCAGGATATTGGTTGAAAATCCAGAACATTTTAACTCTTGGGTGCTAAAAAGCTTACTATGCCATGTATTGTGCTGAAGCATCAAATGGATGATTAGCATGATAATTGACCAAGACAACAATCATCTGAACTCTAACAACAACAATCTATGCTTTTATTGAGACTTTGCAGGATAATTGGGCAGTGCAAACCTTTTTTTTCTGTGCAACCGTATTATTGGTTTATTTTATTCTTTTTGTGACAGCAGAATTGGCATGCAATAAATTATAAAATGGCTATTTAACAATCCAACTACTGTGTAGGATCTCCCATTACGAGAAGGAAATAAATTCTAGTTTTGTTGACAAACATGCCTTTGTGTATTTTGTGAGTCAATATAACCTCTTAACTCTCCCATCCACGCGTTGTCTCCACTAAATCTAGATGAGCTGCTTATATCCGAGAAAAGGTTAGAACAGTTAAATATAAATATATATTTATATGTCATGCTAATAGAGTAAAAGACTCCGCAAAAAGACTTTCTTGTCAATAGATGTTTGGGTATGAATTCAGTTTTCATATTATTAAAAAGAATCGCATTGTATCCCATTGTTTAATTTTAGATACAATTAGATGGGCTGAATTATAAAGTGAAATGCTAATATGCAAAGAGACCAATATCCACCCCAGAATGGGGTTGTAAAGTTTAAGAGTGAAGGTATTGGTCAAAAGAAACAGTGTGCTATGAAATACATGTAGCAGTTGGCAGCAAGCATACAGCCCATATCTGTCAGGATTACTAGTTGATCCAGCACGTAGAACTATATCACACCAACATTTTTGGTTGTGCTCCTTGATTGGATATTCTTTGTATTCTTATGTGGTCCTCTGGGAATAGGACCTTATTTAAGTGAGCATCTGGACTTTAACCCCTTAAGGACGGAGCCAAATGTACATGTTGTGAACAAAACAAAATGTAAACAAAACCTGGCATTTGTGCTACATGTCTGTCCAACCGTAATTCAACTCTTTCATAGTAAATGCACCCACACTTATTATATATCATTTTGTTCAGGGGAAATAGGGCTTTCATTTCATATCAAATATTTATATAGGAAACATAATTTATTATGAATAAAATTTAAAAAACTGAGAAATTGTAAAAAAATTTAAACATTTGTAGTTCTGCCTCACATTTTAGCTGTAAATGTCATAATACTGTTAGGTTTTACTGCAAAAAATACACATATTTGTAATCAGCGATGTCTCACGAGTACAACAGTACCCCCCATTACCAGGTTTTATGGTGTTTTGGAAAGTTACAGGGTCAAATATAGAACGTTCCATTTTCAAATTGAAATTTAACAGATTAGTAATGTTACCTTTGAGACGGTGTGGTAGCCCAGGAATGAGAATTACCCCCATAATGGCAGACCATTTGAAAAAGTAGACAACCCAAGGTATTGAACGTGGGGTGGGGTATGTTTAGTCTTTTTTAGTAGCCACTTAGTCACAAACATCAAATTTTAATTAATCAAATAACATAATTATGTTAAAAGATTACTTAAATATACACGTAGAATTTTAATATATATGCATTTATAGGTATTTAAATTCTACGTGTATACTAATGTAATCGTTTATGTAATTATATGTATTTATCTATATATATTTATTTGCGGTTATTTGTATTTTATATATAGATAGATATATATAGAATGTCATTCTAAGTGTATTTTGTTACCAATATATATTAGTAACAAAATACAGTTAGACTGAAATTACATATGAATATATAATTTATATAAAATTTTGTTTCAATATTTTATTTATTTATTTTATTTATTATTGTAATTATACGTGTATATATATATATATATATATATATATATATATATATATATATATATATATATATATATATATATATATATATATATATATAATATGTGTATATTAGAGATGTCGCGAACTGTCCGCCGAACTGTTCGCGAACTGTCCGCCGGCGAACAATAGCGTTTTCACGTTGGGCGAACATATCCGATTTCCGGTCCGCCCCCTACGTCATCATTTACAGACTTGGCCCCAAAAACATTAAAGTTGATGCCCTCTCTAGACAGTTTGATTTTGAATCAGAACAAGAATAAGAGACGTCCTAAATTGTTCCTCCTGAGTGTATCATTGCGTCCACTGTTCTTACGTCATCATTGAGTAAACTTTGACCCGGAACCTCACAGTCAGCAGACACTTCCTGGGAGGGAGGGTCTGCTGCTGATTGGGTGGAATGTGTCTGCTGGCTGTGAGGTTCCGGGTCAAAGTTTACTCAATGATGACGTATAGGGGGCGGACCGGAAATCGGATATGTTCGCCCAACGCGAACACGCTATTGTTCGCCGGCGGACAGTTCACGACATCTCTAGTGTATGTATCTATTATATATATATATATATATATATATATATATATATATATAGATAGTTAATACAATGCTAAACAAAAATCTGCACACCAGTCAAGCCATAAGACTTGCTTTTCCCACAGAAATCCTAAATCAGCAGTGATGTTACAACCGCAAAGGATTCTGGGTGGGCATATGCAAATTAGTTTAACAAAGAATCACATTTTTGCCTCATTCCATTTTAAACATGGATTCCTTTTAATTTGTGTTTGCAGTATACAACTGCTTGGAACACAATTTAGGATAAGATGTAAAACCAGTGAACCACTCATGGACAGCTGTTTCATTGTTAATGCAACTCTTCAGCATGAGGTTGGTTACTGGTTTGCTTAGTGAGGCTTGGTAGTGCTTGGGAAGCAAAATCCAAATAGGTTATGGTGGGGAAAAAATTGTGATTGAAAACCCCTTCCACCTGAAGTATGTGGATAGTTAATACAATGCTAAACAAAAATCTGCACACCAGTCAAGCCATAAGACTTGCTTTTCCCACAGAAATCCCAAATCAGCAGTGATGTTACAACCGCAAAGGATTCTGGGTGGGCATATGCAAATTAGTTTAACGAAGAATCACATTTTTGCCTCATTCCATTTTAAACATGGATTCCTTTTAATTTGTGTTTGCAGTATACAACGGCTTGGAACACAATTTAGGATAAGATGCAAAACCAGTGAACCACTCATGGACAGCTGTTTCGTTGTTAATGCAACTCTTCAGCATGAGGTTGGTTACTGGTTTGCTTAGTGAGGCTTGGTAGTGCTTGGTATGTAACGTCATTCTAAGTGTATTTTAATATTAATATATACTTATTAATATTAAAATACATTACGTATGACGTTATATGTATATATATTATATATATATAATATATACACATATATTATATATATAAAAATATATTTAATTTATTTTAACATGTTTATTTTTTTTATTTTATTTTTTACACTTTCCACCAGCAGAAATATCAGACAGTCGCCCTGCTGGCAGATCCACAGCCAGCAATAGGGGGCCATGTGATCGCTCTCTGAGAGCGATCACATGGCCCCGGGGGCCTCATTCGCCGGAGGACGGTTGCCTGGGCGGTCTGGCAGCCGTCCAGAAGAGGATCGCGGCGGAGGTGAGTACCGCCGGTCCTCTGGGGCTCAAAGCCGTTACGGCATTCTGTGCCGCCGCAACGGCTTTAAAGCCCGTTAAAGCCGCGACGGCATAGAACGCCATAACGGCGGGAAGGGGTTAAATAGCTTGTCGTTATTCTCTTATTTAGTTTTGATTGCAGTGTGCCTACCTACTTCTAATTCTAACTGTATAAGATAAGAACCAGATTTTGTGAAGACAGCAATTTTTTGAGTGGAATAAAATTAGCCATCTTAGAAAAACGGTCAACCACCATAAGGATGGTGGTATAACCATTTGAACATGGAAGTTCTACGATAAAATCCATGGATAAGCGGGACCATGGAACACTAGGTGCAGGAAGTGGCATTAACAATCCACACGGAGGTTTATGAGGAACCTTGCACACACAGAACAGGCCTCCACATATTCCTTGATATCTCTCCTGAGTGAATCCCATCAAAAAGATCTAGAGACAGCGAAATGGTCCTATTAATGTGCCTAGATGCCCCACAGTCACCTTGTCGTGGAATGCCCTCATTACTTCCTTTCTTTCAGTCAATGGAATAAACAATTTATCCAAAGGTTTATTGCAAGGTGCCTGTTAGAGAGCCGCCATGATAGCACAAAGCAAAGGGGATGACATGGAAAGAACAGTGGAAGCAATGATACACTCAGGAGGAACAATATAGGACGTCTCTTATTCTTGTTCTGATTCAAAATCAAACTGTCTAGAGAGGGCATCAACTTTAATGTTTTTGGGGCCAAGTCTGTAAGTGATAATAAAGTTAAAGCTGGATAAGAACAAAGACCATCTGGCCTGTCTTGAAGACAGTCGTTTAGCATCACCAACATATGACAAATTTTTGTGATCAGTGCTGATCAAAAGGGGATCCTTGGAACCCTCTAAAAGGTGTCACCATTCTTTAAGTGCTAGTATAATGGCCAACTATTCCCTGTTGCAAATATCATAATTACGCTCCGCCAGAGACAACTTTCTAGAAAAGTACCCACATGGATGCAAAGGAGTATCCGGACATTCCCTCTGATATAGGACAGCCCACCCCTGTTTCGAAGGCATCAAGGGTTTGCTAGTGTCAGGATGTATTATTATGTCAGCAGAAGCAAACCTTTTGAGAAGTTCAAAAACTCCTCTAGCTTCTTTAGACCATACAGTACAACTAACCCCTTCACGTGTTATATTGGTGATGGAGGCTATCACAGAAGAGAAACCTTTGATGAATCTCCTGCAGTAATTAGCAAAACCAATAAACCTTTGAATTGCTTTTAATCCATTAGGTAGTGGCCAATGTAGAACAGCCTCTAGTTTACAAGGATCCATTTGGAAACCAGAGGCAGAGATTTTATAACCCAGAAACTGTACCTACGACTGGTCAAAGATGCATTTTTCAAGCTTGCAATAAAGACAATTTTTAAGCAAAGTTTGCAGCACTTGTTTGACATGATCGTGATGAGTCTGGAGGTCAGGGGAATAAATAAGGATATCATCCAGGTACACAAGAACAAAAGAATAAATATAGTCTCTGAGCACATAATTTCTAAAGTCCTGGAGTACGGCCGGAGCATTACATAAACCGAAAGGCATGACAAGGTACTCCTACTGCCCACTTCTAGTGTTAAATGCCGTTTTCCATTCATGATCTTCGTTAATCCTTACCAAATTGTACGCACTCCTAAGGTCAAGTTTAATAAATATCCTAGCTCCCTGGAGTCTGTCAAACAATTCGGAGATAAGGGGAATGGGATAGGCAATTTTTATGGTTATCTTGTTTAAAGCCCTGTAATCAATACATGGACGTAATTCACCATATTTTTGGGAGACAAGAAAGAACACTGCAACAGC